CTGGACTTCACCTCATCTCGGATTCTGGACTCTATCCACCTTCTCATATCCCAGTCCTGTATCCACCTTGTCTTCCAGATCCCCAGATCTCCGGACCTCCAGATATTAACTCCAGACCTATTCCCACCCTCTGTCCAATATCCTGCACATATCCACATTTAGGCATCTCTGCCTTTCCGGCATTCAGTTACCTCTTCTTCCATCTTGCTTATTGATCCTTGTATGAGTCTTCATCTCCAAGTTCATTTACTTATGTTCTGTCTTACTTACTAATGTGTTTCCACATGCTCGTACATAGCCTTGCTCCTTTGCTTACTGATCCCCCCAGATATTTTCCAGTATATAACCCCTGTAGATACTCCTGTAGTTTCCTTAGTTTGAATATCATCTTAGACTTTGCTCTACCTGCCCAATCCTCTCTTGGACTTTGGTCCAGCTAAGTCTGTCCTATCACATTGGACTTCATCTGATGTAGCCCCTATTCCTTCCATACCTTTGGACATCCTGTCTTCTGTACCTCCAGACCTCCTGTCCTTTGGATGTTCCACCCTCCATACCTTTGGACATTCCATCCTCCTAACCCTCAGATGTCCTATCCTCCTGCCCTCTGTACCTTTGGACATCCTGTCCTTCTGTCCTCCATCATCCTGCCCTCCTGTCCTCCTGTCCTCTGGACCTCTGGACCTCCTATCCTTCCATCCTGTTTCCTGTAGAAGTATTACCTTGCAGTGGGAACTCTCCGGAGCACTTCCTGCATTCCTCTGGAACTCTCCCATGCTCCTCTGGACGTTTCCCACACTCCTCTGGAAGTCCTCTAGCACTCCACCAGAGTAGCCAGCCTCTGGAAGTCCTCTGGACATCATCAGACCATCATCAGACCTCATATGAAATGAAGGGCACATACTTGGGTAAGGGGCATAGCATATGAGCTGAGGCCAAGCCTCTCTGAGTCAGTCTCTCTCTCCCTTGAGCAACATGGTTCTTAACATTCAGCAGGGATCCCAGAGTCATGGAGATGCACTTGATCTTCTTTGTCATACAATAGATGCATGACATACACAGATTCCGGGTCCTCTTGTCCAACTGAGTTGTGCAGGGCCAGTCTAGCTTCTTGCAAGCCTGGCATGGGTTGTTCTGTGGGTTGTGTTAGTGTATGGATGCACTTCAGATAAATCAAAGTACTCACCAGTCTGGGAATGAGAATATCACCTGCATTGATGACTGTGGGTGTCTGCACTGGGGTTTCAGGAGTTGGCTGGGAGAGCTCAATGACTGCTGGTGTCTTCTTACTTGAGGGTCTTATATAAGTTGAGGTGAAATACAATGACTATCACAATTGTACTTCAATGTCATATCTGCATATCTGGATCTCAGATCTGATCCTTATCTCATCTCAGATCTGATCCACATCTTATCTCTGATCCTATCCACATCTTATCCCCCTCCAACATCTCATCATCCAATCTGTCCACTCGTCCAGTCCAGTCCACAATTCATCTGAATCCACAACCAGCACTCATCTCCTTTCAGTAATCCCCTAACTCTGGTATTTTGGCTATCTGTATATCCGCCCTGCTCCCTGATCCATTACCTATGCTTCATTTCTGTTTCATGATTTGTGATCCATTTCTACTTACCAATAAGTTGGCTGAGATCTGGAAGGAAAGGGCTGAGAAGGCCCAGAAGGCAGAAAAGGTGAGTTTCCTGTGGTCTGGATTGGTCCAGAACTGAAAGTGTGCTTATCCTCAGATGCAATATGATCCGGAGGCATGCAGGAACTGTGTGACTAAGAGGAGGGACTGTTACTGGGTTGAGGACTCATATAGGGGTATGTACTCCATGTCTTCAATTCTCTGGTGCCTACATCAGCAAACTGATTTGTTTGTTATCCAACTATCTAAGCCCAGTTATGTTTATATGTGATAACAACTACCTTGGCCCACCCATCGATATAATATATATCACCACCTCAGCCTATATGTCCATACATCCATATAGTATACCAATACCTTGGCCCTTGCATCTATGGACCATCTTCTGAGGTATCACTGGATTCTGAGTTGACAGGGCACTTGGCTGTGTTGACTTTGATTGATGTTGACAGGATCTGAGTCTGAATGTCATTGATGACTCAGATCAAAACTAGTGCAACAGCATTGCTCATATGTCCATATAGTATACCAATACCTTGGCCCATACATCTAAATGATATGTATCTGGGCCCACCCATCTATATGACATTCCCCTATGTCAGCCCACCCATCTATGTAATATACCCCCAGGTCGGTTCACCCATCTATGTAAAATACCCCAGGTCGGCCCACCCATATATATAATAAAGATTTCACCACTCCCTCAGCCCACCCATCTATATAATGATATCTGCCTTACATCTCTCTTCAGCCCAGCTGTCTATAATATATGTCTATCCTACTCTACATACAGTGGCTCAAAAAGTGTCTCAATGTTTGTGACTTTTCATGTAATTGCTGTATTATGAGCCAGGGGATGAGAATATGACTAAGCCATAGGGAGGTGTGGGAAAGCTCTGCTTCTAAGCTTCATGTTTGATTCCTATAGTGTGTGGGAAGATTGTGTCATCAAGTGAAGATATGGTTGATTTAATTTGATGACTCATTGGGACACTTTGTTGACTTTTAGTTTGGCCAACACAATCTCTATGATTCTAGTACTTGGTGCTTCCTCCTGTTGCTCTAATTACTTCCACCACTCTTCTATGCATACTATCTATCAATTTGAGGCATTCCTCATCAACAATCTTGCCCCACTCTGCTGTAACTCTCTCCCACAGCTGAAATAGCCCCTATTATTATCCTCAGCTCTTCTAATCTGTATACCAGGCAGATTGCTACCAAAACTGGTCTGAGCAGGGTTACTATCATTAGGATCATAAAAAAGTCATGCCAGATAAGAAAAATATCAAACTAGATTGTCCTTTCAAGCTTACACCATATAACAAAAAATCTCTTGTTCATAATATTCCAACTAGGCAGGCTGCCAATGCTACTCAAGCCACCAAATTTATTAATTACATCATCTACACTGCTCTCTCCACTCAAATAGTCAAGGATACTCCTAAGGCAGCCAATCTTAAAGCTGTAAACAGGTAGAAAAAACCTTTCCTGTCTTCAGCCTATAGGAGAAGAAGACTAGCCTTGGCTTTAAAGCCTCAATATTGGATTGTTGAGGACTGGAATAGGGCTACCTGGTCAGATGAGACAAAAATCAAGAGGATGAGGTCAGATGGCTAGGAATATATGTGATGCAAGGCAGAAGAACTACTAGAAGAAAGAAAAGTCAAGAAAACACTAAAGTATGTAAAGTAGGAAACTTGATGGTATGGTGTTGTATGAGGTGGAATGGAGTAGGAATTCTCTGTGAGGTGTGGGGGAGGATGAATGCAGAGTAGCATATTTCAATTTTGGAAAACTATCTGCTCAGAAGCATGCAAGAATCAAGAATTATTGAATAAGACAGTACCTTCTATCAAGACAATGTCCCTAAGCATACTTCAAGTTGACCATAAAATGGTTTGAAAACTATGGTATCAGTGTGCTATTATGGCAAGTCCAGTCCTCAGGCCTCAACCCTATTGAACAGCCCTGGTAATTACTCAAGATATCACTTGCAGTCTATCAAGATCCTCAATAGGGGCTATTTCAGCTGTGGGAGGGAGTTGCAGCAGAGTGGGGCAAGATTGTTGATGAGGAATGCCTCAAATTGATAGATAGTATGCATAGAAGAGTGGTGGAAGTAATTAGAGCAACAGGAGGAAGCACCAAGTACTAGAATCCATAGAGATTGTGTTAGCCAAACTAAAAGTCAACAAAGTGTCTCAATGAGTCACCAAATTAAATTAATCATATCTTCACTTGATGACACAATCTTCCCACACACTATAGGGATTAAACATGAAGCTTAGAAGCAGAGCTTTCCCACACCTCCCTATGGCTTAGTCATATTCTCATGCCCTGGCTCATGATAAAGAAACTACGTGAAAAGTCACAAACATTGAGACACTTTTTTGAGCCACTGTATTACCCAGATGAGCCCACCCATCTCCATTGGTAAAAATATTTCTCCCAGCCCATCCACCATCATTGAGGATATTTATAACATCAGCATAGATGGGCCCACCCATCCCCATTGGAAATAATATCCCTCCCAGTCCACCCATCAACATCGAGAATATACATAACATCAACCCATAGTCCACTGGCCTGTTTTATATGGGATATTATGTAGGTCGGGTGACCTGTATAATACAGAGTTTGTCACTGAAGGGGCTTGAGGAACCTGGATAGTGTGAACACTCATCACTCACATGACACATTCCTGTCTTCAAGGTACACTGTCCCTTTGGTTATAAACTGATAGAATGCCCTAGAGTCCTCTGCACCATCATACTCAGTGGGTGGAATGAGTTTCAAGGTGCTATTCTTTCTTGGTGACTTTCTCTTTTTGCTGCTCTTGCACTTTTTTGAACATTTCCTCTGCTTCTTGGCAGTTGAATCAGAGGACTCAGACAAGTTGCTGGACTCACTTGACATGGAACTGTCTGTAGTCCCACTGGATGACAAACTCAGATCCTTGGGCAATTCTGACTCCAGAGAACTCAACAACAAAGAACTCATTGAGCCTTCACTCAGTGAGTCCTTAGCATCTCATCCTTTCCATTTCCTGGTGCTCTTTTTCTTAGGCTTAATCTGCTTGAAGGCATGCCCCAGGTAGCTTTTGGGGGCTATCTGGATAACTGCATCCATCGTAGGTGGGGTCAATCTTTCCCCATGTCTAGACAGTTTGCTTCCCATCTTTTCTAGCATCTCCTTTACAGGGTTAGAGCCCCTTGGCTCTTTTGCTGCTTTTGCTACTTTATCCTTCTTGGGAGGTCAGATCTTCACCTTTTTAACTGGTGGTTCCTTCCTTTTCTCGAGTTCCTGCTTTAGTTGCTGGATTTCACTTTTGAACAGCTTCATCATTCAGCTCTCAGTGGCTTTTACCACTGCCATTATTGAATTGATTAGGTCCTCCCTGTTCTCCTGCTCTGGAACTCTCCTAGACCATTCATGGGTCTGAGCCCAGTTTGCAAGTGCTTCTCTCTGGGCTTCCAGGTCTATTTCAGACTCATATAGGTTGGCATTCCCCCAATTGCATGGGTCAACTTCCTTCCCTTTGGGGTTAGAGGGTCCCTCCTCTTGAGATAACATTGTTTGATCTCAAGAGTCAGCATTTATTTCTATGTTCTTCCTTTCTAGGATTCTCTGTTTCTCCTCTGCAGTGAGGAGCCTCTCTGCTTCTCTTACTAAGTCAGCCTTAGGTGGCTGACTTTTCTCAGGTGCCTTCTTGGCTGCCCTTTTAGATTTCCTGTGATTGTGCTCAACTGTCATTCAAGGTGCATCCACCTCAGACTCATCTGACTCACTTGAGCTGATGAAGGGGTTATCTAGTATCTTAGTTGCAGAGGATGCCAAGTTTGGGGCAACCAAAGTCTTATAGTTACTGGGGGTATCCTCAGTGCCCAAGGTACCAGCAGATACAGCCTCAGCACCAGGCTGAGGTGTGTCTGCTCTCATCCTTACCACATAGTTGAATGAGCAGATGGGTTTCAGCACAGGTCCATCAACATGAGAGTCATTAGACTTCTCCACCATCAAGGTATTATGATTAGCAGGGACTGAGGTTAAGGAAGCTATGTATGAGCATGTGGAAACACATTGGTAAGTAAGACAGAACATATGTAAATGAACTCAGAGATGAAACTAGTACAAGGGTCAATCAGCAAGACAGAAACAGAGATAACCAAGAACCAGAAAGGCAGAAATGCCTAAATGGGGATAGGTGCAGGATCTCAGATGGAGGGTGGGAATAGGTCCGGAGATAGTACAGTTAATATCTGGAGGTCCGGAGATCTGGGGATCCAGAAGGCAGGGCGGAAACAGGACTGAGATATGTGAGGTGGTGGATGTAGTCTGGAATCTGAGAGGAGGTAAAGTCCAGATGTCTTGCTGGATGGAATGTGCATAGGGTGGACAGGATAGGGGATCCAGGAAAGAATCAGATATGGGGTCCGGAAATAGGTCCAGAAAGCGTGGGAATATGATGGGATCTATATCTGGCATATGGGATATGACACCTCTTCTCTCAATGATATCTCACGGAACATATTGTATTTTATGGTGCAGAATAAAATGTATAATCTATTCATGTTCTGAGGAGTATTGTCATATGCCATTCCAGACCCTCAACTCTAAATCCACTTCTCCAGACATCCAGATCCGAGATCTGGATCTCCAATGATCTGATCTATCTTTATCTTCCTTCCAGAATCCAAACTCTATATCAGTGCCCAACCCCATTTAGACTTCCCCTGTCTCCAGACTCCAGTTAACCATGTTTCCCTTCTGATTATTGATCCGTTACATACATTTCATTTCCAATATGCATTATTGGTGATCCGTCTTACTTACTAATAAACTTTGCATATGCTTCGTGCATAGCCTTTGTGTTTGCTGACTGATTCCTATATGATACCTACATTATATAAACCTCCTGTAACTCTCAGAAGTACTTCAGTTCAAATATCATCTTAGTTCCTGCTTATTCCTGTGTCCTCCAGACTTGAGCCAAGTCTCTTGTCATATTCCAAGTCTGTCATATCCCATGATCCGGACCCATGTTCCATCATATTCCCATGCCTTCTGAGCCTATGTCTGGACCACACCCCATATCCGACTCATTCCCAGATCCCCTTCTGCTGTGTACTCCACACCTCAGCAGGATCGACTCCACTCCAGATTTACCCCTGAGCTCTGGACCTCTGGATCCTCACTGCTAGCCTGATCCATACAACCCTATCCTGTCCACCCTATGTGCACTCCATCCAGCAAGACATCTGGACTTCACCTTGTCTCAGATTCTGGACTATATCCACCTTCTCGTATTCTGGTCCTGTATCTACCTTGTCTTCCGGATCCCCAGATCTCTGGACCTATTCCCACCCTCTGTCTGATATCCTGCGCCTATCCCCATTTAGGCATTCTCTGCCTTCCGGCTTTTGGTTACCTCTTCTTCTGTCTTGCTTATTGAGCCTTGTATGAGTCTTCATCTCCAAGTTCATTTACTTATGTTCTGTCTTACTTACTAATGTGTTTCCACATGCTCATACATAGCCTTGCTCCTTTGCTTACTGATCCCCTCAGATATTGTTCAGTATATAACCCCTGTAGATACTCCTGTAGTTCCTTAGTTTGAATATCAACTTTGACTTGCCCAGTCCTCTCTTGGACTTTGGTCCACCTAAGTCTGTCCTACCCATCAGGCCTAGGGATTGATTCCCTAGGCCAGAGCTCCACCTTTCTGGCACTTACCCTCTTTCTGGACTTAGGTCCAATCCCTGTCTCTCCAACTCTACCTTAGGGTAGTCTACCTCTGTTTGTTTCTACATCAGACTCTGTCCAATGTAGCCCCTATTCCTTCTGGACCTCCGGACCTCCTGTCCCTCGTACCTCCGGGCATCCTGTCCTTCAGACGTTCCGTCCTCCTAACCTTCAGACATCCTGTCCTTCTGCCCTCCGTCATCCTGCCCTCCTGTCCTCCTGTCCTTCTGTCCTCCATCATCCTGCCCTCCTGTCCTCCTGTCCTCCTGTCCTCCAGACCTTCGGACCTCCTATCCTTCCATCCTGTTTCCTGTAGAAGTATTACCTTGCAGTGGGAACTCTCCTGAGCATTTCCTGTGTTCCTCTGGAACTCTCCCATGCTCCTCCAGAAGTCCTCTAGCACTCTCCACCAGAGTAGCCAGCCTCTGGAAGTCCTCTGGACTTCATCAGACCATCATCAGACTTCCTCTGAAATGAAGGGCACATACTTGGGTAAGGGGCACAGTGTATGAGCTGAGGCCAAGCCCCTCTGAGTCAGTCTCTCTCTCCTTTGAGCATGGTTCTTAACAGTATATCCAGACTCATGCCTTACCAAGTATACTTACTTCTACCTATGGCTCCTTGTGATCCAACCCCCTTGAGCACGCGACCTTAACAGTATATTCAAACCCACACCTTACCAAGTATACTAATCCATTGCATCATACTTCATTCTGGTCTGACCCCTATCTCTCGGAAACTATGGATTCCTCTCCCAACTCCTCTGCATTTGCATTTCCAGACACCCTCCGGAAAGTCCGCATTTTTTCCAGAATTCATTTCCACTCCACTCCATCATCATGACATCCGCTCCTGAAGCCAAACAGGAATGCCACCCTCATGGCAGAACAAATAGGTCGCAGGATTTTACACCCTGCAACTCCCTGACTCAATTCCATTACATCCGATGTCCTCCAGTTCCCTCCAAATCCAAAACCTCATTCTTTCCGTCCCACTATGGCTCATCCTAGATGGATCTGCCTATGTGTTGCTTCAGACTGGCTCAGTCACCTCTGGAATGCTTCACCATTCAACTCCTTTGGATTCTCCTTGTGCCACTCAGGATATACACTTGCTTACCCACTATGATCTGTTGATCAACAGGGCATTAAGCAAAACCTTTTTCTGGGTGCTACTATAGGAAATGCCATTGACTTCCAACATCTCTTGTTCACTTTCCTGCAGAACCCCTATCTCTGTGCTAGCCATGTCCATTCCACTGGATTATGTCCAGACCATCACCCAGTTACCTTGTATTGGTTTCCATTACCCTCCTTGTAGAGAAATCTGTCTTTCATGATAGTTTTCTGCCAAGTGTTTGGGTTTGGTTTTCCTCTGACAATGTTTCCATTGGGTCCCTGCCCTTATTTCCACTCCTGCATCCTTTTCTGCTCCACACCTCTATTTCCACTCCATATCTACTTCCTGCTCCAGAACCCTTTCCCACGGTCCAGAGTACTCTCCATGTATTGTCCTGAACAATCAGAAATGTCTCCCATAAAGGGGGGATAGGGACTCTGCTGACTGCTATGTCCCATGCAAGTTCCTGACCAACTTCCGTCCTCATTCTCCTCATCTGATGTTTTATGCCTTTCCACCACTAAGCCTTCAGGCTCCAGAAAGCAAAAACCTCTGGAAAGTGTTTCCCACACTCTCCAGCAGTAGAACTTGGAAAAACCCTCTGTTCATCCAAGTCTCCAGAATCTTGTTGGTCCTTGCCAGCCCTTGTTCCTGCCCCTCTGAAGTACCAATTTTCCGACCATTTCCAGGACAGTCATACCCCTATATCTCCAGACCTCAACACCCCAGATTTCCAGTGGCTTCTTCATGAAGGCCTCCACTCCATACCTCCCCTCTGCAACTGCACAACATTTTCCATCCAACCTCCATCCTTCATCCTCTGTCCTTTGTCCTTTCTGCTGTGCAGTAGCAAATCCTGACTTCCATTCAACCCTATACCTCCGGAGCTCATAACTCTGGATTTCTGGAAGCTTCTTTGATGGATGCTCTCATTTATACTTCTGAACAACTCCATATCATCTCTGGACCTTTCCAGATCAGCATGGATATGCTTTGTGCTTACTCTTTGTTGCTGCTGATACCACTTCCACTCCATGTCCTATCCAGTATTTCCTCACCAATATGTTTTCCGGGATTCCCTCCAAGTCCAGGATACTCACTGGTGACACTTCCAGACCTTCGGAATTTTCAGCACCAAAGCTCCTGCTTTGCATTGCAGCTCGTCCATCCATTCCTGTCCAAATCTGCATCAAACCTCTGCCATCTGGTCCACTGATGATCTGTTCACACTATCCACTTCATTCCTCTGAACCTCTGTATCACACCTCTGCTCTGTACCTCTGCTTCAGACCTCCACTCCGAACCTCTGCCCCACACATCCGTCCTCATCCTCTGTCACTTTTCCACTCTGCAACATTTTCCGTCCGTCCTCTGTCCTGTTCCTCTGTAGTCCATTTCCAGCATCCGCTCTGGAACTCACAACTCTGGATTCCTGATTGTTTCCTTGATGGAAGCTCTCACTCCTACCTATGACACATCCTTCGTCTCTGGACCCTTCTGGATCTTAATGAATATGCTTTGCATTAGCTCTTTCCTGCCTTCATAATCATTTCTGCTCCTGTCCTGAATTCTCTCACCATGCAATAAGTGTCTTCTCTCAGATCCACTCCATGTCCAGAAAAGCACTGGTGACACCTCTGGAAATTTTTGTACCAAAGGCTTGCTTTGTGTCATAACTCCTCCATTCATTCTGTCCATTTCCGTGATGCACATCCAGTTTCTCCAAAAATCTGTCCATCATTCCACTCCACCATCCAGTCCATTGACATTCTAAAACTCCTGCTGGAACCCTGTGCCTAATTTCCTCCACCAATTTTTTTTTGGGACATCTCCCAAAAGGGGGGATAGGGACTCTGCTTGAGTATTCACTTTACCCCATTTCCACCTGGAATCACTTGCTCCATCCCATAGAACATTGTCCACCAGATCCGCTCTGGAAGACTGTGGGAAAACATGCGCATAGCATCGCACATCATTGGAATATGTCTGGACTCATCCATCCATCATCCACCTTGCATTAATAGTTTTCCAACAATTCCTGCATGACACCCCTAATGTTCTATTGCACTTGGTTGGATTTCATGACACTCTCATCCGAGATACACACCAATCTGTCTGCATCCACCATCTCCAGTGGAAATCCCACTCCAAAACTCCCCTGAGTCACCTTTGCTGATACAACCACTCTAATATCCCTAGTTAATGCAGTCACCTGTTGCAGGACCTGCAAGCTAGAGGGATCTGGTCCAGTTCAGCATCTTACTCCTATCTGACCAGTGTTGACTCCTGGACCACTCCACTCGCCTTGGAACTTCCTAGAACATTTCTGGAGTTCCATCGGAAAATCACATGTTTGCAGATGTCTTGAATCCATCCAATCCCTGGACCATCAAACAGCTCACTCCATCCTTATGAGCCTCTATACTAGCTACTCAGTTGCTCCAGCAGCTGTACTTATGGATATTGAATAACTCCGGAAAGACATCCCCTCTGCAAATCTAAATCCTTCCTCCATGTGTTTTCTGACCTCCAGATTTCTGACCCCCTGTGTTTTCTGTCCCTCCATGTTTCCAATGCTCCGCATATCTGACCCCCTGTGTTGTCTGACCCTCCAAGTCTCCTCCACATATCTGACCTTCCGCATTTCCAACCCCCTATGCTTCCGATACTCCTCTGCATTTCTGACCCTCTGTAGTTTCCAAACCTCTGCATTTCTGGACTCCCTATCATGTTGTCCAACCCACCCAAACCTCATAGACTCATGTGTCACATCACACTGATCTCCATCCACCACATCCACCTTATCATTGATTGTGAGCTGGTGTTAAGGTCGTACTCAAGGGATAACTGGATCCAAAGGGCTTCAGCCTCAGCTCATGTGCTGTGCCCCTTACCCAAGTATTGCCCCTTATTTCAGGAAGACAAGACTAACATGTCCAGAAGGTCGGACAAGTATCATAGCAGATCTGGATGACTTCCAGATGTGGGATAGGTATCATAGGGCTAATTCGGATGAGTCCAGACTAGAAACTAATGGTAATAGACTGTTGGAGACAGAGGTGGATATGGATAGACTATAGGAATCAATCCTAAGTCTCAGAGGGTGACGAGAGTAGAGATACTCAAGTCTGGAGGATGGGAATGAGTAGAACTAAGATGATATTCAAACTGAGGTACTACAGAGAGTTACAGGAGGTTATATACTATAGGTATCTAACAGAATGATCAATCAGCAGAGTCTGAGGCTATGTACGAAGCATGTGGATAGTCTATTGGTAAGTAGAAATGATCACAAATCATGAAATGGAAATGAAACATAGGTAGCAGATCAGGGAGCAGGACAGATATACAGATAACCAAAACACCAGAGTTAGGGGGTTACTGAAAAGAGACGAGTGCTGGTTGTGGATTTGGATGAGTTGTGGACCGGACCGGATGAGTGGACAGATTGAATGACGAGATGTTGGAGGGAGATAAGATGTGGATCTGAGATGAGATAAGGGTTGGATCTGAGATCCGGATATGCAGATATGACACCTATCCTGTCCACCCTATGCACATTCTGTCCAGCAAGACATCTGGACTTTACCTCCTCTTGGATTCCAGACTACATCCACCACCTCACATATCTCAGTCCTGTTTCCACCCTGCCTTCCGGATCCCCAGATCTTTGGACCTCCAGATATTGACTGTACTATCTCCAGACCTATTCCCACCCTCCGTCCAAGATCCTGCGCCTATCCCCATTTAGGCATCTCCACCTTTCTGGTTCTCGGTTATCTCTGTTTCTGTTAAGGTTGTGTGCTCAAGGGGGTTGGATCACAAGGGCTTGGCCTCAGCTCATACACTGTGCCCCTTTCCCGAGTATGTGCCCTTAATTTCTGGGGGCTAGAACAGTTGTCCGGAGTTTCTGGGATTTGACTAGGGTGGACAATGGACATCCAGGTCTGAAACGTGAGATAAATCCGATGGATGTCCAGATGTTACCTGGGCAAGTGGATAAGACTAATCCAGACAAAGTCCAGACTAGAAACTAACAGAGGATGGACTACCTTAAGGTAGAGTCAGAAATGTAGCCTAGGATGCAATCCTAAGACTCGGAATATGACAAGAGACTTAGCTCAAGTCCAGAGGACACAGGAATGAGCAGGAACTAAGATGATATTTGAACTGGAGTATTTCCAAGAGTTACAGGAGGTTTATATACTGTAGGTATCATATAGGAATCAGTCAGCAAACACAAAGGCTATGCACGAAGCATATGCAAAGTCTATTAGTAAGTAGGATAGATCACAAATAATGAACACTGGAAATGAAATGTATGTAATGGATCAATAATCAAAAGGGAAACATGGTTAACTGGAGTCTGGAGACAGGGGCAGTCTAAATGGGGTTGGGCACTGATATAGGGTTTGGATTCTGGAAGGGAGATAAAGATAGATCAGATCATTTGAGATCCAGATCTTGGATCCGGATATCCAGAGAAGCAGATTTAGGGTTGAGAGTCCGGAATGGCATATGACAGTATCTCCCCCTGTAGGCTGAACCCTTGAGGCACAGGGGGTCGGAAATGAGGGTCCAGAAGAAATGAGTGTGAGACAATGGAGAAGTCGATGGGGGATTCCAGGGGATGGATTTCACAGATATAGTGTTGCCAAAGTGTCCTATTTGATTCTTACCCCCCATATTCTTCCATCAGCTTATTCACTATGTCTAGCAACTCTTCAAATCAATCTAACAAGCCCAAAGCTGCCAGGGAGGAACTGGAACTGCGTCAGGCCTGGATGAGGGCGGAATTAGCTGAAGTGGAGGCCAACATCCGTCTGGCTGATGAAGCAGAAGAGCACCGGAAGGCAGAAGAGCTCTGGAGGGCGGAGGAGCAGAAATGTTAGGAGGATGAGGAGAAGAAGCAGAGGGAGTTGGCTGAGATCTGGAAGGACAGGGCTGAGAAGGCCCGGAGGGCAGAAAAGGTGAGTTTCCTGTGGTCTGGACTGGTCTGGAATTGAAAATGTGCTTGTCCTCAGATGAAATATGATCTGGAGGCATGCAGGAACTGCATGACTAAGAGGAGGGACTGCTGTTGGGTTGAGGCTGGTAGTAGGTCCACTGTAGGTGTCTATTTTCTGGATGTCCAGATCCAGTATTTTGACATCCAGATAGATAAAGGCTTGTGATGCCTGCCGGAAAACCAAGGAGAAGTGCTACGGACATCTGAAGGGCCCTGAGGAGAACCGAAAGTACTTTGACCAGGCCTCATCCACATCTTCCAACAAGAAGAGAACTCGTCTGGAGGGGACTCCTTCTCCCAAAGGCAAGGGGAAGAGATGTCAGTGCAGTCCGGATCTGGATTCCAGAGATGAGGTGACTATTATCTCTAATCCGGCTACTTTTATAGGGGCGGAAGAAGCAAATGTGGGGTATGATGATCAGGCTTGGGTCACCACAGCCAACAGTATTGTGGCTGAGTTGGTCCAGACTAATGGACTTCTGGAGAGGAGCATTCAGGCGGTGGAAGGGAGTAGAGCTGCAGCAGACCGGATGAGTATTGGTATGGCCGGATTCCTGGATCAGCAGAGGGAGTTCCAGAACACCCTTATAGAGTACATCTGAGGCAGATCCCAGGATTCCGGATCCGGAGAGGAGAGTGCTCAGGAGGATGAGGGAGTGGGAGAGGTGGAAAAGGAGGCTGGAAATGAGGCCAGCGGATCTGGAGGTGACATGGAGACTGATGCCTGATTCCGGACTTCTGCTCTTGCCCTCTAAATGTACTCATATATCTGCATGTATCTCAAAGTAGTGAAATGGGACTGGGTTTGTCTGGGTATGCAGAGTGAAAGTTGGATACTAATTCCGAGGCATTTCCAAGCTCCATGGCAAGTAGCCAAGATGTTTCCTCATCTGTTCCCTCATATCTGGACCACCAGACAAGGTATAGGAGCTGACAGTGTCGTCTCCAGCGGTCAAGTTTAGAGTCCAGAATTTCGGAAATTTCATACTCAGGCTCTCCGTCAACTTCCACTGGAGGTGGGGGTGCTTGGATGCGATTGGGGATGGTGTTGGGAGTTGTGGGTTCTAACTGGGAGACATGGAAGATGGGGTGGACGGATTTCATGGATTCCAGAAGATGTAGGGTAAAGGAGTGGGATCTGGGACAGGATATGATCTCAAAGGGTCCTAAGTTCTTTTCCGAGAGTTTCTTTGAGGGTCTAATGGACCGGAAATATTGTGCTTTGATGAAGACTAGATTTCCGACCTTGAAGTCCGGAGCAGGTTTCTGCTTAGCATCAGCAGGGCCCTGATAGTGCTCCTGCACATGGGACATTTCTTCTCGGAGGAATTGGTGAAGCTTGTTGAGATCTATAGCATAATTGCAGGCATGGGCGGAAGAGAGGTTGCATTCCGGATGGATGGAAATGTTCGGATGGTATCCCTTGTTGGCGAAGAAGGGTGAAACTCTGGTAGTAGCACTCAGAGCATTGTTGTATGCAAATTCCACCAAGGGTAATAATTCCGACCAATTATCCTGCTGGTAGTTGCAGTAAATCCGGAGGTATTGTTCCAGGGTCTGGTTGGCTCTTTCCATCTGTCCATCTCCTTCTGGATGATATCCAGATGTGAAGTGGAGAACCATATCCAGTGCTTTCCCTAAGGACTGGAAGAAGTGGGACATGAATTCCGTACCTCGATTGGAAGTGACATGGGACGGGACGCCATGCTTAGAGAATACATGGAGTAGGAATAGGCATGCAAGGTCCAGGGAGGTAATGGTGTCATGAGTCAGAACAAATATTGCTTGCTTGGATAATTGATCTATGATGACGAGGATGGCTGTAAAGCCAGATGAGTCTGGAAGTTGTTCTATGAAATCCATGGAAATGGAGTTCCACAGCTTTTCTGGGATAGGGAGCTGTTTGAGCAATCCGTAGGGTTTATGTCTTGGAACCTTGGCTCGGGCACAGGTAGTATAGGATCTAACATAGTCCCTAACATAGGTGCATATTCCGGGCCAGGTATATTCGCATCAAATGAGTTCTAACGTCCAGTTTTGACCAAAATGTCTGGATAGGGGGTGGTCATGAGTATTCTGGAGCACACGAAGTCGTAGATCATTGGATTCCAGAACATATATACGATTGTCACAGTGGAGGAGACCATCAACATCCATTGTCCATCTTGGATCTGAGGGTTCCAGAAGATGTATGGAGGCGATAGGGTCATTAGGGAGTGCGGTCAGGATGTCAGTCCAGAGTTGTTCTATATCCATTAATACAGCTGCTCTAAGAACCAGAGTTGCTAAGGATGAGGCTCGTAGGGATGAAGCTAGCTGTTCCATAGTGAATACTGGACAGAAATTATGAGGGTTAACTTGAGCGTAGTCCTTATCCCCCTCTTTGGGATAGATGTCCCAACATCTAGTGAGGGAATCTGGTTTAGCTCCAAGTTTTCTGGGACGGAAGTGGATAATGAGGTTGAACTGATGCAGGAATTCTGACCATTGAGCCTGACAGCGGGAAAGGAGTTTTGTGGTTGTGAAGTACTCAAGGTTTTTGTGGTCCATGACAACATCCACAGGCTCAGAAGAGCCCTCCAGGTAGTGTCGCCAGGTCCAGAAAGCTTCATAAATGGCTAGGAGTTCCTTGTCATGGGTGTCATAGTTGAGTTCCGGAGCAGAAAGTGTATGGGAGTAGAATGCTACCAGATGAAGCTCTGAGTCTGGACATACAATGGAAAGTATTCCGGCAATAGCATAATCAGAGGCATCTGTTTCCACAACTATAGGAATGTCTGGCATCCAGTGCGTCAGCACTGGAGCGGAAGTGAAGGCTTTCTTGAGTGTTTCAAAGGACTTCTGGCAGTCCTCAGAAAAGTTCCAAGGGACATTCTTGTGAGTTAACCAGGTGAGTGGGACCACAATATCCAAGTAGTTGAAGATAAATTGACAATAGAAATTTGTGAATCCAAGGAAAGATTGGACATCTTTGACTTTCTGGGGTTCTGGCCAGTCAGTGATAGCTTGGATCTTCTCAGACGACATAGTAAGGCCATCCGGAGATAGGAGGTATCCAAGGTATTCCATGGATGAGGAATGGAATTCGCATTTTTCTGGTTTAGCATATAGGCGATGCTTCTGGAGTCAACATAGTACTTCTCGGACATGTTCCTTATGGGTTGCAAGATCTTGGGAATAAATGAGGATGTTATCCAGATACACAACAACGCATACATCCAGCATATCTGCAAAAATGCTATTGACAAAGCACTGGAAAGCTGCTGGGGCATTGGTAAGACCTTCTGGCATAACCAACCATTCATAGGAGCCATAGCGCATCTGGAAAGCAGTTTTCCACTCATCTCCTTCCACTATCCAGACAAGATGATAGGTGGACCAGAGGTCAATTTTGGTGTAAACTTTAGCATGGCTCAGAGAGTCTAAGAGGTCGGAAATGAGAGGCAAGGGATAATGGTCTTTCTTGGTGATCTGGTTGAGGCCTCAGACATCCACACAAAGTTGTAGGGAGCTATCCTTCTTCTTTACAAACAGGACAGAGGCTCTGTGCAGAGAGGATGAGGATCGGAGGAGTCTGGTTGCAATGTTCTCATCAAGGAACTTGTGGAGAGCTGCAAGCTCGACCAGAGAAAGGGAATAGATAGTTCCAATGGGCCAATTAGCTCCTTCTTCCAAATCAATCTTCAGATCATATGGACAATGAGGAGGAAGTTGACTAGCTTTGCCCTTATCGAAGACATCCGTAAACTCCTGATATTCTGGAGGTATTCTGGAAAGGTTAGGGGCTTTGGACAAGAGTGAGGTGGACCGGAGATCCAGTCCAGAGGGGTGGAGATAGATGCTGAACTGCTTGGATCCTTCCATCTTGCAGGCCCTGCAAAAGGCAACTGCATTAATGAGGGAAATATGTAGACTGGATTTATCAGCAGAAGGTTCTGGTGTAGTCAGAGGAGGGATTTCCACCAGAGGAAGGGGTTCTGGAGGCGGAAGTGATGTCGGAGGGGTCAATGGCATTCCATGAGGTGTCATCCAGAATTTGATGCTACCCAAAGCCCAGTCAATCAATGGATTGTGTCAGGTGAGCCAGCTATATCCAAGAATGACAAAACAAGATGAATCCAAAGGGGTAACATAAAACATATCAGAGGTAACTACACTGGACAAAAATCGGACAGGGAGGTCTATGGCTTTGGAAATATTGTTATTACAAGTACCATCAAATAATGAAGCAGAAGCAGAGGGATTCTGTATGTAGGGATTTTATATTTTTGGATGAAATTTGTATCTATAAAACAATGAGAGGAACCACAATCTACAAGAGACAGAAATTTGGAAATATTGGGATATGTCGGAATTGTGATATATGGACAGAGTGAAGTCGGATTGGAAACAGAGATAGCGTTAAGATGTAACTCCTTTGTATGGGTTGAGATAATGCGACCCCCATCCCATATGGAGTCAGGAGGGTCACAGACTATTTTTTCGCCTCGGATGAGGCTTCCGGTTTGGCTTCCAGAGTGACTGTAGCAGCGCAGCCTTTGGCAGTGCGCAACATCGATTTGTTGCAGTCCCGGGCAGTGTGTCTGGGTCCACCACAGAATAAGCAGAGCTTCTTATCCAAATGCCTCTGGTGCTCCTTGGAAGTTAGTTTTCCATCCTTACCCAACTTGGAGGTAAGGTCTGGGGCCTTTGGAGTGGATGAGGTGGAGGATGTAGTGGGTTTTCCAGGTTTATGTCTGGAATTCTGATTTCTGGATTTGTTACTTCTGGATCTGGATGAGTGGGAGCTGGTCTGGTCAGAGGCTGACTGCTTAGGAGGAGTGGACAAGGAGGGTTTGGTTTCACAGGAGATCTCTCCCTTGCATTCCCAATAATGGGCATCAATGGTTTGTGCAAGGGTCTTATATTCCGGGAGGGTAGCAGGTTTTCCCATGCAGCTGATTTTGTCTTTGATACAGGCCAGAAGTCCATTATAGAATTGTTGGCATAGGGCTCCATCGCCCCATCTGTGGAATTGTGAGGCAAGCCACTGGAACTCCACAATGTACTTATTGATGTGTTGTCCATTGTGCATATTGAGTTGCTTGAGCTGCATTTCTGCATCTCTGGAGGGGTCATGAGGTCCAAAATTGGTCTGGAGTTCAAGCATGAACTCAGAATAATCATCCATCCAGTCTGGACGATCAGTATTCTCGTTGGAAAGGAGGTCCGGTTCAAACCATTCAAGGGCCATACCTTTGAGATAGGATTGGGCAAAGTTGACCTTAGACCTTCCAGTACAGAAAGCATTGGGTTTGCTCTGGAAATTGAGCTTGCACTGGACAAAGAATGCTCGAAGTTTCCAGGGCTCGGTGCCATCAAAGACATCTGGCTCATGGACTTTGACCTTCAGGTCTTCAGAAAGTGCTTCCAGCAGTAGCACGCTGGCTAACATGATGCTGAGAGAAGGTATTGAAGGTTTCAATGATAGGGGTAGAATCCTGGCAGGCGGAAACTAGTCTGGCCACTCGGAGAGGGTTTGTTGTTTTGGTAGGAGCCATGATAGATGTAAGTATACTCAGAAAGGTGTGAGTTTGAATATACTGTTAAGGTTGCATGCTCAGGGGGGTCAAATCACAAGGGCTTGGCCTCAGCTCGTACACTGTGCCCCTTTCCTGAATATGTGCCCTTAATTTCTGGGGGTGTTAAGAACCATGCTCAAAGGGGAGAGAGACTGACTCAGAGGGGCTTGGCCTCAGCTCGTACACTGTGCCCCTTACCCAGAAGTGGGGGGAGAAGAAGAGGAATGGAATTGTGATGTCATGGAACCAGAAGCTGAATGAGCAATTGTGCCCTGGGTAACAGATGGGAGTTCAGGAGGCAGCATCTGTGTTTGCCACCCTGAATGATGGGGCTGAACACCAGCATCCTGGGCCATAGCTTCAATATGAGGGGGTGGGAGAGAAGCAGGAGGGAGAGAAATGGGGTGATGAGGATGTGTGGGGAGAGGAAGAGAAGTAGGGGAAGGAGTGGCAACAGATGTCGCTGGCAAAAACACAACACTTTGCAATGTTGGGGTACCTGGTATACTTAGAATTCTCTCCAGACCCTGTTGCATAATTTTGAGGATTTCTTTGTGGGACAAGTCACATTCGTTGTGCAGTGCGTCCCCGATTGCCTTGCGCCATTCCTCAAGGATGGGGCAACAAGCTTTAAAGTATGGTGTTGGTTTGTAGGGCGGATGTTTCTCTGTGAGAAATTCTTTCTTCAATGACCCACTAGTCCCCAGACCATCTCCATCCATCATCAGGTAAGCCTTGCACCACCTAGGGGCATTGACAGGGTGCACTCCTTCGGCTGATGTTTTACCACTGGGTCCTTCATATGTGGTTGTGAATTCGAGGAGGATGTAAAAGAGAGACTCTAGGTCATCAGAGGCTCTGTGGTCAATTGTGGATGGACACGGAACATCTCCCATGAGCTTGAGAAGACAGCAGGAAATATAGGGTACAGTTCCCTTCAAGGTTGAAGCATATGAGATATGTATACATGAAGAATGTATTGAAATATAACTTACAGTACCACACAAATTGACTGCTGCATTGGTTTTGAGGAATTTGGCATGATTGAAGTCGATGAAGTAAGCCTTTCCATCGTGGATAATTAAATTGTTGGGACTGAGGTCACCATGTAGAATGTTCTGCTGGGTGACCATTGCTTTGTGAGCTGGTAGCAGCTGTCATTACAAAGAAAGACACTCACTGACAATAAGATCTCAAAAAACGTTGACTAGCTCAGGGAGGGACTTGAAGGTTGTCAGTGGAAGCCCGCAAGGGGTCAATAGCATGCGATGGTGAACCTTATTAGAGTATATCAGTGCTTCCGGAAGGTTTTCACTAATGTGTTCGCGAATCCTCTCTGTGCAATCTGTTTGTCTGGCATACTGGACATCCCAATATTTTTTGAGACTGACCACATTTGGAATGCCATCGACTGCCTGGAGGAGCATCACTTCATGATCCAGGTTTTCCATGTCGACCCAACAACACCTCACCGTCATTGTCCATCACCCAGCCTTTTGTTCCTTCCAGCATTTGATCTATACCCTCAGGAAGATCATTGTGAGAACCAGTGGAGCAGAGGTTGGTGCAAATGTGAATGGTAGGGTCGAACCCAAGGGAAGCTAGGTCTGATAGTGTGATTGTGTTTAAGACATCGACAAAACGCATGGCATTGGCACCAATTGGGAGGGGTTGAGAGATAATCATTCCAGAGCGGTCCATATAATGAGCACGGAGCTGGAGGTTTGCAATGCTAAACAAAATGATGAAATGGCACCATGGCTGTTCTTGCATTATAAGATATCCCTTGTTGGCGACCCTAAGAATATAGGGATATCTTTTCCTTGAATCAATTCCGACTTGGTGATCTTGATATTGGTGAGAACATCCCTTTTCAGCCGTAGTCCTAGGCAAATCAGCTTGGCTGGTCATTCGGAGACCGTACCTGTCTGGGACAACATTGAAGGGAAGGGGTTTTGCGTGAGTCTTGTTGGGAGGACTTGTCATTGCCTCCAGATGATGTTGTCACCTCCGCAAGGCATCCGGCTTTTTCTTCGATTCTTGACGGGATGTTGATGTCCGCATTGAATTCTGCGAGCTGTGTCTGTGTCCATCAGAATCCTCATTCATCTCCTCCAGGTCTGTGTCTGTCTCATCATTCCCCAACTCCCGCCGCCACCTTAACTTCTTCACAGGACCTGAAAAGGCACCATCAAGCCTCCACTCTAGACCAGACCGCAGTTTCTGTAATAAAGATGCTCCCTGTAAGAGTGCTTGACCTTTTTTTTTGATGTATTTGATGCCCAAGATATCTTTGGTTGTGAGGTCTGATCCTGGAATAAGGATATCCAGGATGGATGATTTCCTGCCTTTTATCCCCTCCTCCCATAAGACTCATCTGCCTCCTGCAAGCACGCCATCCCTACCCATAGGTAAGAGTTCGTTTTTCATCAATAAATCCATATCTTCCTTCATCCAAGGTAAAAAATCACCACCAGCAGGGATGGAGCTGGTAACTGTTGCCAGCAGATAGTGATTGGTGAAAGACTGTGTCATTGACATGTTTTACACAGCAATGTTGTGCTCAGACCTCGCACAATGCACAATGCACAATGATTCATGTTCATTCATGTGATAAGTAGGGCTTCTAAATTTGTCCCTTAATGGAGCAAAAATATTCTCAAACCAACTGAACAATTCAGTTCAACAAGCAGATATTGTGAGTACTTGTCATATCCTGTATGCCAGACATAGATCCCATCATATTCTCACACTTTCCAGACCTGTTTCTGGACCCCATATCCAACTCATTCCTGGATCCCCTATCTGCCCACCCTATGCACATTCCGTCCAGCAAGACATCCAGACTTTACATCCTCCTGGATTCTGGACTACATCCACCACCTCACATATCTCAGTCCTGTTTCCACCCTGCCTTCCGGATCCCCAGATCTTCGGACCTCTGGATATTAACTGTACTGTCTCCGACCTATTCCCACCCTCTATATCCTCTCAGATAGCCTTTAGTATATAACCCCTGTACAACTACAGTAGAGTCCTCAGTTGGAATATCATCTTAGTTCCTGCTCTCTCATCTTAGATCCTGTTCCACTTGCCAATCATCTTCCGGACTTCAGTCCATCTGAGTCTCATCCTTTTCCATAAGGCCTAGGGAAGGATTCCCTAGGCCAGAATTCCAGACCTTCGGATTTGTCCCCTATGTCTCTGTCCCAAGTCTAGGGATTATTTCCCTAGGCTAGAGTCTTGCCTTTCCAGCACTTACCCTCTTTCCGGACTTAGGTCCACTTCCTGTCCCTCCGACTCTACCTTAGGGTAGTCTACCTCCATTTGCTTCTACATTGGACTTCGTCCAATGTAGCCCCTATTCCTTCTGGACCTCCGGACCTCCTGTCCTCTGTACCTCCAGACCTCCTGTCCCTCATACCTCCGGGTATCCTGTCCTTCGGACATTCCACCCTCCGTACCTTCGGATGTTCTGCCCTCCATACCTTCGGACGTTCCATCCTCCATACCTCTGGACCTCCTGTCCTCCATACTCTGGACCTCCGGACCTCCTATCCTTCCATCCTGTTTTCCTGTAGAAGTATTACCTTGCAGTGGGAACTCTCCTGAGCATTTCCTGCATCCCTCTGGAACTCTCCCGCACTCCTCCGGACGTTTCCCACGCTCCTCCGGAAGTCCTCCCGCACTCTCCACCAGAGTAGCCAGCCTCCGGAAGTCCTCCGGACTTCATTGGACCATCATCGGACTTCCTCTGAAATGAAGGGCACATACTCAGGTAAGGGGCACAGTGTACGAGCTGAGGCCAAGCCCCTCTGAGTCAGTCTCTCTCTCCTTTGAGCATGGTTCTTAACAGTACTAATACTATTATCATGAAGCATAGTAAATGGCATCGTAGATCTCTTTATCAAAGTATTTATTCAAAAAAACAAGTGGGAGTAATGTGTAGACATTGCTTTCATTAATTGCGCATCCATCACATCCCCCAGTTGAGGGATAATGCTGATGAATGCACAAAGTTGATTCAACAGAATGAAATTACCAACAGGAGAGCCATCAGCATACTTCGTGCGTTTCAGTGTATGCATCCTGGTGGCTGGATCAATTGGCCCAATACTCAAACACTGTACATAGCAGAGATATTGATCTCGCCATTTAATGCAAGAACCTCGCCAAGCGATTGGACATATGATAAGATATAACTCGCAGATTGCATGACCTTCGAAGGGTGCATCAATTTTGTATAGGTGAATAAATATATGCAATGTGAATGTGCTAACCTGTTAGGCCTGATTTGGGCCATTCAGCAGCTCCGCCTATATTAACCAGGACAAAATCCCATCGGCCTTTGGGCCATCCAGGGCCTGAAGGAGAGGCATGTACAGTCTGGGCTGGTAATATGATGCTAGAATTGTGGAAGGATGTTTGCTGTAGACGAACTGAATGCCAGACTTGAATGTGATCAAATGGCAGGATTGGAGGACGATTGATCAATGGTCTCCTTCTTGAAGTGACCTCATGAACTACTCCTCTGCCCCTCGCATCATGCTGCAAGAAATCCGAAAGCAGGACATGCAATCCAGTATATTGTAGTCAACAGAAAAGTCCCCAACTTTGACTCCATTCCGAGATGGATCATAGTTGAGATGGATAGCAGTGGTACCACCTATAAACGTTCGAGGGGGGTAAGCAAGTTCTCTGCAGCTGAGGGTAGCAAATTGCTTGGCTTTGCTGAAATAATGTGTGGTAATGCATGTTTGATTCATCTCCTTGAGGAGGGCAGTCCATGGATCAGATGGCTCCCACTCATCAGGATCAATATCATCTTCTTCCCCTTCATTCTCCTCAGCAACATCTACAGGATTGTGACTTTGAGTGTTGTAGTGATTGTGAAACATCGCAGTTTCTCCTGACGATCCAGATAGCAACATATCTGTGGGTCATAATCATTATTGTTTGTGTGTTGCGCAGGGTCCTTAATTTCAGATACATGGGCATGTTCAGTTGCATCTGTGGACCACTGGATGAGGGCACCAACTTTGCGCATACTAGACGTGATGCTCTGCAGGAGCTCCAACTTGGGGATGAACCAATTGTCAATTGGTTTCTTTGCTCCCATCCATGCACCTAATGTCATGATGACATTCTTATTTTCATGAAATGTCAAAAGGGATTGGTCAATACATGACAGTAAGTCGTCATCAGGTGCAGGGCACTGCGCCAAGTACCAGACATCCATGAGGGCATGTATTGCAATCACAAAGTGATGAGGAGCTACACCAGATATCAGGCCAACAATATAGCGCTGAATGTCATGATGAACTCTGCCTGTGACCTGCTTGAGTTTTGAAATTCCACCTGTGAAGTGGTGATAGCCTGTGATGGGCTGTAATATAGAGAACCTGAAATCTAACTCCTGGGTGCCAACAACCTTGAGACACCACTGAAGGTCATGGTCATAAAATTCCTTATGCCAGTGATGTAGTGGTTCTGGCATCAGGAAGATGGAGGGATCAGTGTGGGGGAAGCCCTTCCAGAAAGGTGCATGAACACCATTTAGCTGGTGTTCAGAGCATGCCTCAAAATACACCTCGAGATCATTTGGATCAACTGCAATACTGGCAAGCTGAGCGAGAATTATTGCATGCGTACGAGCAGGGTGCCAGAAATGATCCCCAAACTGTAGATATGAAGCCATGGTGAAAGGAGATGTCTTCCCATGCATGCATGCAAGCATGGCTGCCTCTGGGGTATCAATGATGTACACTGCAAGAGGCATAAAACAGTGTCGAACATTTCCCACCAGATCAGACATCATGATGCCAACTTCCACCGCTATCATCAAGGGCTTCAGGACAATTGAAAGGCACTCATGCACCAGGCAGTCTTCAAGCACACCATGCATCCGTTGGTTGGGGTGTAGGTACTTCAGAATGGGGAGAAGAGCTGTGAGCATGAATGCTTTGGATGAGAGTTTCATCCAAGTATGCATATGTATGTTGGCAAGGCCAAGAAGAAGTGGATGGGCGATCCTGGCACCAGTCATGGTAGTGATATTTGTTTTATCAGAAGATAAAACAGCACTGAGGATCATAGCACCTCTAGGATATTGGCTCTGCAGGAATGATGGTAAGACAGCACAAAATGAGTAGACTGAATCTGCACATACCTGCACATCCCATGCAGAATTACCTGTCAACCATTCAGAATATACCCTCAAAAGCCACGCTGCCATTTTGTACATGCGACAAGGGACAAAATCGAGCTTATCATGAAACAGAGGATTGCTGAAAAGGCTTTCCAGGCATTCAATGGGATCTCGCCAGAATAAGCGGATAGGAAGTTTTGTAGGATGAAGTGAGGGAATGGTCTGGCATTTCCAGCTTGGTCTGCTGGGGAGCATCTTGGCATGACTATGCAATTCACTAGCATTGCTGCATGATAGTTGTAAATTTTGGATCTGAAAGATAAGTTATATTATAATAATCACTGTCAGAGTACAAATCCATACCATGTGAAGCTTCAAGAATTCATCAATTGCTGCCATACTCAGGGATGAGTGAAGGAGATAGTCAGCAACTTCCCATTCCTCCTTGGATGCAAAAGGGTAGAAGAGATTGTCCTTCCTGTACTCCACAAATTCATCAGCATCGAATACATCCAAAAAGGTTGACCCATTTTCCAAATAACAAGCCCCGGCACCCTCATACTTCTCCTCCAAAGACTCCCCAGCTGCTCCAAAATCATTGTTGAGTGAACTGAAGTCATTGCTGATGTTCCAAAAGTCATTAGATTGTTGTTAATCCTCAATGCGAGTATCTGGGTCAGGTTCTGGAGCTGAAGGTGAGACATCGCGCCATGGTGGTTGCACCTGTGTAAACTGAGAGATATCGACTATGTCATGCAAGTAGCTGTGGCACGACGTTTGGGGCTGGCTGAGATGTCAAGTAACACTGCTTTCCTTGGTAAACATTTTCCTGCACTTTGGACATGTTGACATCTGATTCAGACTCAAGAATTCACACAGTGTAATGCTATTGGTTTTACTCTATCATCATATTTGTCACTCGCATAGTAGTATCCATATCACTCATATATTGTTCATGAATGTTCTGAACTCTCACAGCTTCAACTTGGAAACCTCTCCTCTGTCATATCCACATATCCAGATCTCAGATCCAACCCTTATCTCATCTCAGATCCACATCTTATCTCCAATCCTATCCACATCTTATCTCCCTCCAACATCTCATCATTCAATCTGTCCACTTGTCCAGTCCAGTCCACAACTCATCCAAATCCACAACCAGCGCTCATCTCCTTTTGGTAACCCCCTAACTCCAGTGTTTCGGTTATCTGTATATCCGTCCTGCTCCCTGATCTGTTACCTATGTTTCATTTCTGTTTCATGATTTGTGATCCATTTCTACTTACCAATAGACTATCCACATGCTTCATACATAGCCTCGGACTCTGCTGATTGATCATTCCATTAGATTCCTATAGTATATACAGTGGCTCAAAAAACTGTCCACATGTTTTTGCATTTTTTACTATTTACAATATTGTGTGAGAATACGTAAAGACCTCAGTGACATGCTAATACCATATTGTAGTGCTGCTTCAGGGCTTTGGATTGAGCACCACATCGTGAGAATCAGAGGAGATATGGTGGAGATACATGGCTTACAAAATCATGACTCATGCGGACAGTTTTTTGAGCACATATTAAAACTATATAAATCATCATTTATGACACCATAACAATCATGCCACCATTAAATAAATTATAAAGTGGTGTCATTATGTCATTTTAAAACCATATCTAACTATACAAACCAAAAATTGCCATATGTCATGGTTATATTCACCATGAAAGCCACCCCCCCTGCTCAAAGGGATAATATCCTCTCTCTTTCCTATTCTGGCCTCTCTGCTTGTCAAATTTCCTCTAGAACTGGAGTATCCAAGTCCACTGTGGCCAAGTTCATCAAAGAAAGTCACACAGACAAGGAAAACTTCTGTGAAGGGCATCCATCCAAGCTCACCTCTACTGATAGGAGGGCTATTATTCAACACATCACTACAGGAAAGGCTGATAATGCTGTCCAGGTCACCTATTACATCAATTCCATCATCACATTCCCTGTCTCTTCACACACTGTGAGAAACATTCTCAAGACAGCTCATCTCAGGTCAGTAACAAGGAAGAAAAGGCTTTCCTCTCTATCACACATATGCAGAGAGGACTAGCACCCTTCTTTTTTCACATATATACCTTGCCATCTGACCCAATCCTATTTATTGTGGTCTTATATGATCATATAACATGCTTCCAGTCCATGTAATCCAATTCTGATGGGCTAAGGCAAAGGTTAGTCATCTCTGTTTATGTGTGATAGAGAGGAAAGCCTTTTCTTCCTTGTTACTGACCTGAGATGAGCTGTCTTGAGAATGTTTCTCACAGTGTGTGAAGAGACAGGGAATGTGATGATGGAATTGATGTAATAGGTGACCTGGACAGCATTATCAGCCTTTCCTGTAGTGATATGTTGAATAATAGCCCTCCTATCAGTAGAGGTGAGCTTGGATGGATGCCCTTCACAGAAGTTTTCCTTGTCTGTGTGACTTTCTTTGATGAACTTGGCCACAGTGGACTTGGATACTCCAGTTCTAGAGGAAATTTGACAAGCAGAGAGGCCAGAATAGGAAAGAGAGAGGATATTATCCCTTTGAGCAGGGGGGGTGGCTTTCATGGTGAATATAACCATGACATATGGCAATTTTTGGTTTGTATAGTTAGATATGGTTTTAAAATGACATAATGACACCACTTTATAATTTATTTAATGGTGGCATGATTGTTATGGTGTCATAAATGATGATTTATATAGTTTTAATATGTGCTCAAAAAACTGTCCGCATGAGTCATGATTTTGTAAGCCATGTATCTCCACCATATCTCCTCTGATTCTCACGATGTGGTGCTCAATCCAAAGCCCTGAAGCAGCACTACAATATGGTATTAGCATGTCACTGAGGTCTTTACGTATTCTCACACAATATTGTAAATAGTAAAAAATGCAAAAACATGTGGACAGTTTTTTGAGCCACTGTAACCTCCTGTAACTTTCTGTAGTACCTCAGTTTGAATATCATCTTAGTTCTACTCATTCCCATCCTCCGGACTTGAGCATCCCTACTCTTGTCATCCTCCAAGACTTAGGATTGATTCCTATAGTCTATTCGTATCTGCCTCTGTCTCTGACAGTCTATTACCATTAGTTTCTAGTCTAGACTCATCCAGATTAGCCCTACGATACCTATCCCGCATCTGGAAGTCATCCAGATCCATTGTGATACTTGTCCAACCTTCTGGACACGTTAGTCTTGCCTTCCTGAAATAAGGGGCAATACTCGGGTAAGGGGCACAGCACACAAGCTGAGGCCGAAGCCCTTTGGATCCAGTTATCCCTTGAGTATGACCTTAACATCCTCAATCTTCATTCTCTGAATACAGTTAGCATCACACTGTTCTTTTTAACACATCTCCCAATTACCTCAGATCCATTCAAAAACCTCACCAGTCAATGACCAATTTTTCACCACACACCTCATCAAGCTTGATTGGAGGGGAGGCTTGTTTTGCTATGGATACTCACCTTGTAAGCCTCAATTATTCACTGTGGTATATTATTATTCTTACCTGTCTTTGGTAGGATGTAAACTACTCTTTATTCAAGTCCAAAGGTGACTCTGACCTGTTAAGGTTGCGTGCTCAAGGGGGTCGGATCACAAGGGCTTGGCCTCAGCTCATACGCTGTGCCCCTTTCCCGAGTATGTGCCCTTAATTTCTGGGGGCTAGAACAGTTGTCCGGAGTTTCTGGGATTTGACTAGGGCGGATAATGGACGTCTGGATCTGAAACGTGAGATAAATCCGACAGACGTCTGGATATTACCTGGGCAAGCAGATAAGACTAATCTGGACAAAGTCCGGACTAGAAACTAACAGAGGATGGACTACCCTTAAGGTAGAGTCAGAAATATAGTCTAGGATGCAATCCTAAGACTCGGAATATGACAAGAGACTTATCTCAAGTCCAGAGGACACAGGAATGAGCAGGAACTAAGATGATATTTGAACTGGAGTATTTCCAAGAGTTACAGGAGGTTTATATACTGTAGGTAACATATAGGAATCAGTCAGCAAACATAAAGGCTATGTACGAAGCATATGCAGAGTCTATTAGTAAGTAGGACAGATCACAAATAATGAACACTGGAAATGAAATGTATGTAACGGATCAATAATCAAAAGGGAAACATGGTTAACCAGAGTCCAGAGACAGGGGCAGTCTAAATGGAGTTGGGCGCTGATATAGGGTTTGGATTCCAGAAGGGAGATAAAGATAGATCAGATCATTTGAGATCCAGATCTTGGATCTGGATATCCAGAGAAGCGGATTTAGAGTTGAGAGTCCAGAATGGCATATGACATGACCTCACCCTGGAGGCAGCTAAGGCGAAACAGAAAGTGTGCGAGGCAGAGAAACATCTGGCCGATTGTATTCTGGAACATCAATCTATACTCCTCAACCTGTGGCACTGTCGTGCGGAGGTAGCAAACTGCCATTTATTGAATGCAGATCTCAACATTGGACACATGCACATGGAGTGCAAGAAGAGTGGTATTGCAGCATTCGCTCACTCAGACTCAGGTTTAATGGTAAGTGCTCATTTGTTGGTTTCATTATAACTTATCGCCATTGAGATGATTGCAGACAACCTCTTGACATACATCTTCGTCACAAACAATCCTGGCTACATCAAGATATTTTTATTTTTCACACTTCTAGTATGATATTATCTCGAGCACTACTAGTACATACTTTGTTACTTTGTTTGTTTGTGCTGCTTGTATCGCTCTGTAGCTATTTGTAATGTCAAATGCTTGTCAGCTTGTGTTGTTTGTGCTGCTTGTATCGCTCTGTAGATATTTGTAATGTCAAATGCTTGTCGGCTTGTGTTGTTTGTGACACTTGTGTAGTTCTGTAAATGTTTGTTATTGTTGTGACACTTTGTCACGAAATCAGTAGTTTGCTGATGTTCGGCTCACCTTTTTAGTTGGAGACATCGAAATGGACTTCACCCTTTAACTCGTTCAGAGTTCTTATGTGCATTAGACCATGCTTCTGTCAAACTTGGGATTGCACCACTGAAAGGGCATGGATTACAGATTGGAGGTACTCTGGAGTACCTTTTGAGACCATGGAGTCAATGGGTAGATGGGGTGGAGATGCCTTTGCTGGGTACCTCAGACAGCATGTGGTTGTGCTGGCACCATATCTCCAAGACACTCCCATCCTCAAGCTGTTCAAGCGATATGCCCTACCTCCTGTCCGTTGAAAGAATTTTGTGAGTGTGCTACTCTCCCTGTGTTTGGGGGCAAGCCTTTGCTAGCTGTGTCGTTGTGCTCCTAACTTCAGGGAATCTCTGCTCATACTTGCCCTGTTTTGTCTAGGTCATGAAAGACTTGTTTCAGTCAATTGAACCTGGAAGTTTCCTTCCCCAAAAAACCCCCATTACCCTTACTCGTACTCGTTCCCACCTCTCGATAGCCTTGCGTGAAAGTTTATCAATTTGGAATAAAATATTTATAAACTTCTGTCTTGACTGAGCCAATCTTCGAGGTCAGAAAAACATAGACTTAATATTTTGGATTATGCACAAAACACTGACAAAATTTGAAGTAATGTACCCATATTTATGTCAGTTTAAATTTCAAAAATGTTCTTTGCATTCTGGACAACATTAAAACCCGTCTTAAATATCTCTAGCCCCGCTGTGACTGCCGATGGTTTAGAGTCTGGTGCTAGCCGTTATAATTTTATTTGTGGAGCAGAGTAAACAAAAGCAGTAAGGGGCACAAAATAACTCATGTAGACTCTAGAATCTCATCATGATCATAGCCATGGCCCATGAGGTTGCTGGTCTAGCGATCCAAAGGGTCTCACATGTTCATTTTGTTTCACGAAAAGCGTTAGATAGGGATAGACACATCTACAATTCTATCATGATACAGAGCGACCAACCGGTCGACTTTTTCCTTGCCAATCAAAGACGACCTCATACAACAACAATTTTATGCTGCAGCAGCAACAGCCTCTGGCTGCTGACGTTCTCTCGAGGTCTCACGGTGCTGCTGGAGCAATCGGTCAAGTGCCTCCTTTTGACCGACTGCAAGCTCTCCAGACTGGATGCCGGAGTGGTATATACGCAGCAGGGAGTCGACATCGTCCATGGATTGGGTGCGGACATCAGCGAGCTCCTTGATCTTGGCAGTTGCATCCTTGACCTATTACAATCGTATTAGTGAAGTGGGGAAGGGCAAGGCAAAGATAACATAGCAGACCTGGTCATCGGTGAGGTTGAGTCCGAGCTGCTCAACTCTTGACTTGACAGCATTCCAGCCGGTGAGACGGTGTCTAGTGGCAGACATCAACCTCTATCACGAGTCATGGACGACTAGAAAAGGTTCATACCCAATCGACACATATCGGGTGAGCCCAAAGTCCTCGGGCTTCAAAATTTCGTATGTGCTGGGGTTGTTCAAGATTGCCTTGGCATGGATACCAGCCTTGTGCGTGAAAGCACAGTAGCCGGTGATCGGGTTCATGAAAGGCACATTGACCTCTACTGCCTCTGCGACGAGGTTTTCAAGCTCGCGCAACATGGGGAGATTGTACTTGGCCTTGACGTATTCAGGGTTGGCAGCGTACAGGCATGCTACGAGACCGCCGAGAGGCGTAATACCTACACGCTCGCCAATGCCAAGGACCGCTGAAAGAGATTTAGCCGCTACCAGTGAGGAGAACACGAAGGTACGTACAGGTATCGATGTGTGTTGCACCAGCCTCCAATGCGCAGTAAGCGTTAGCGATGGCCATTCCGGTGTCATTGTGCAAGTGAATCTCAATATCACAACCAACGACACCACGGAGGGTACGAACGAGGTCGTAAACTTGTCTGGGGTTCGCGCATCCGACAGTGTCAGCTATACCCACACGGTTGACACCGATCTTGTCGACGGTCTGGTATATGGAAAGCAGATCGACGAGGTCGGAGCGGAAGGAATCTTCTGAGGAGAAGCGAACTTCGATGCCCTTGGACTTGACGAATGTGATGACTTCGATAGCGGTCTTAGTAATGTACGTCATGTCCTTGCCGTGGGAGAATTCACGCAGGAACGAAGATGTTCCAATCACAACGTCGACACCGTCGACACCTACGAGTACAAATAAATCAAAAAAATAGAGTGGAAGTGCTGTGGAACTCACCGGTTTCGACAGCGATCCGAGCATCGTCCATGTGGCAACGAATGTGGGTAAGAATCTTGGCCTTAAGACCAAGCTTGCAGATAGCCTCGCAGTCAGCGCGTGACTGCTCAGATGCAGCGGGAGAAGTGAGCTCGATATATTCAACACCGAATGCATCAAGAGCCTTGGCGATAGCGATTTTTGTTTTGGTATCGAAGAAGGCGTTGGCAAACTGCTCACCCTCTGCATCACCTGTTAAACTAGGCCACGGTGCAAAAAAAAACTTGCAAGACGTACCTCGAAGAGTACTCTCGATGATGGAGAAATTCGATATGTTGTTTAGAAAGTCTGATGCGCGCGGTCCATACGGATTCCTGTGCTGTGCTTCACCAGGGTGATTGTTATGTCCATTGGCACCGTTTGCCCCGTTGATGCCGTTGGTACCATTCAGGCCATTAGCACCATTCAAGCCGTTAGCACCGTTGACCTGGATCATCTGAGTCTTGTCAGGCATCGATAGGGATTCTGCATTTTTATGTGAGCAGGAGCAAGGCATTTTATAGTGTTGAGTGTATAATTCGAGGAGAGATCGTAAAGATATAAATAACAACGACAGTCAGAACGAGTCACGATCGATCACAAGATATAGCTGAATCGGAATCAGGCTCCTTCTACTGCCAGAGGGGTGGTCTACGAGTGCAAGAGAACCCGGAAACTTCCCGCAACTTCAAACCCAGCCCAACCGCCGACGTTTGTTTACAGATATTTTGTTCCAGCCACTGAGAATTTTTCAATTTGTCCCTGGCACCGTGTCCCTAGTCCCTGGTAGCTTGTTCTGGTCCCTTGTACCTTGTCCCGTGTCCCCTGTACAAATTATAGAGAGTAAATAAGTCTTGAAGTCTCGAAGGAATAGAGACTGCCTGGTCTCTCGATTTGGCTCACCAGCACTGCGTTGGCTGAAACCTTGCTCAAGCTGTTTTCATGATCTTCATTGTAGCGACGTGATCCAATACCCGACAGACTAATGGAAATCGAGCAAAAACGAACGAACGGTGGAAGAATATGACAAAAGATAACGAAAAGGATCTCTACGGTAGTGGCAGGCTCTGCATAGAACAAACACATTACACTTATCACACTTAGTCGTCATCGTCGATGTGATTGACGATGTTGGAATTACTGAAGATTGCGGACCCAAGCATTTTCCTCATCTCCAGGCTCTGGTTGTGATGGTAGCTGAGAAGAAAGCTGACTCCATGGAGCGCACCTTTGTGTGCAAGATAAGGAAGGATGTAACGAAATGTCAGTCCGTGACAATTACTGTGTAGTGTACGGTAATGGATAGGCTGCCCTTCGATACTCGGTTACAAGGAGTGGGTACAGAGTTGCTGCTACCCACCGCTGCATACCATTCTAGGTCTCCTTTGCAAATTTAGATTCTTATAGACATACCTGATCCGTTTGTAGGTAAGACCAGAGTCATAACCATGTCATGTCTGGGTTGAGCAAATTTTGGGATGTCGTTACACACTTAGCATAGGAATAAGGCGAGAGCAGGTTTCGTTCTAGCGTTTTTGCAGACGGTCCAATCTCCCGAGTGATTGTGTGGGTAGTATCATATGAGAGCAAACATAGAGGACATGAATAATGCAATAACACCTGTCTAACCCCGTTTCTTCGACACACCGACCGTTTTCCCGCGACGGCCTGCACCACGCTTCAAAAATGAGATAGCAGAGAGCGGAAACGAGTAACTTACCAGTAGTTTTTGTGTGCTGACCACGCACCCGCAGGCCCCAGAAGTGTCTGAGACCACGATGGGCCCGAATCTTCTTCAATCGCTCGAGGTCATCACGCAACTTCGAATCGACACCGTTGGAAAGGATCTGTGAGTCCTTGCCATCTACGATATCCTTCTGTCTGTTCAGGAACCATGTGGGAATTTTGAATTGAGTGGGATTTTGGATAATCGTGACAATACGCTCAAGCTCATCAGAGTTCAATTCACCGGCACTATACAATTATATGAGCAAGCTGCGTACCGCAGAGTGGAAGTACATACCGCTTGTTGAGATCAACATCTGCCTTCTTGCAAACAAGGTTGGAGTAACGACGTCCAACACCCTTAATCTCCGTCAGAGCGTACATAATCTTGCGCTTTCCGTCAACATTAGTGTTGAGCAGACGGAGAATGTGCTGTGGATGGCGTAAATCGAAGGAAGATACAAGGCCCAAGGTAAACGGACCTGGAACTGCTGGTGTGCTTCAGGAACAACGAGGGACATGGTGGTGATCTGCGGGTAAATATTCTATAAGTCTGTTATCCAAAGGGGAATCCATCCATCCAGCGGAAACCTGGTCTCAAAATCTTCTGATTCTTCCCGGCCAAGCCAAGCGCCTCCTAACGAATTGGTGCGTGCATGAAAATGGGCTCACCTTCGTTTTATCGTTCCTCAGGATAGCCTTGACGCTGGGTATGACAGTGAGCGATGGGTGAATGCTGAGACACAATTTCCCGGCAAATTCCGCTATCCGCGATCACGTGGCCTGTAGTACAGTCGCGTGTTGTCAGTGCGGCCATGTCACCGTGACGGGATTGGTTTGAACTTGCTCGTCACTTCATTTTCTAACCACATCCTCATTACAACGACCTGATACATGTCCAAGAGAAAGGTGGGAGATGAATTAACTGTCGTCCTTGCCACTCTCTTATATATCCAGCAGTGTAGCTCTCCAGCAATTTTGAACGCAGAACTTGAAGCTGTCCGTGGGAAGGTCTCCCTTGAAGAGACAGAGGAGTCATGGGATAAGATCGAGCAGGGCATTGTGCAGCTCACCCAGTGCTGCAATAACGGTGGATGCGACTTCGCCACAGAAATGGTTGCTGGTATACGTTCACTTTCCAGACCCATCAACCACGCTATGAATTCGGAACGCAGTAGACTGTCAGGTTCTGCTATTGAACTTGTGAATGCTCTGTTAGCCGGTTTGGGTTCCTCGTTTGAACCCCTCGTCTCGCTGTTTATGCCAACTCTTCTCGGGCTTTGTGGCAGGACCAACAAGGTATTCACAAGCCGAGCAAAGGCGTGCATTCTCGCTGCGATTGAAAATACCCAATCGCCTTCCATTCTGCCGTATCTCGCAGACTCTTTAACCCAAAAGTCAGCTTTTCTGCGTTTAGCGGCTGCAGAGGGTGTCCTCGCTTGCTTGAACTGCTTCAATCCTCCTGATATTGAGAAAGATATCCGCGCCCGACTTATCGAAGACGTTATCAAGTTAACTGCCCGGGATGCCAGCGCAGATGTTAGGAGAGCGGGGAAATTGATTTTTGAGGCATATAAAGCCCTTTTACCCGATCGCGTAGAAAGGTTGGTCTCTAAAGCTTCCACTCGTGACATCCATCTCTGACATACATAACTCAGTTTCATTGCACCCTTAACCCCTGTCATAAAGAAGTACTTAGATGTGCAAGGGACAGTTACTTCGCGGTCGGCTTCACAAGCACTTTCTCGTGGTCCTGCAGCGACAGGAAGAGTGACCTCAAGGCCAATCGGGTCCCTCCAGACTCAGAAGATGAGTTCTCATTCTAGAGCTCCATCCACGCAGTGCGCTGCCGCCACTCGTATTTCTGGGAAACATGCAGAGAGACCAACACATCCTCCTAGCTCTGAGCCGCCGCGGGAGGTGCCTGCAGCAAGGCTGCGGGTTGTGTCAAGTCAAACAACCTCTAGTGCAATTGCGGGGCCCTCAGTGAGGGAAACATCTCGCAAAGGTGCACTCCGTCCCCCGTCGGTGGAACCAGTTCCATCTACTATGCAGAGTGCAAATCGACGGAAGGATATTCCGTGTCCTCCAGCTCCCATTATACAGGGCCCTCAGCGGGTAGGCACTGTACTCGTGAAGTCGCACGACGAGAAGCCTCGTGTTGGAGGAGGAGCTCGAAGAGTTCTCATTCCCGCAACTCCTTTACCAGAAACTGATGATACCACGACAACGCGCGCGGTCTCAAGGACTGGTCCTTCAACCAAGCCGATTTCGGTTAACTCACTCGCACAATCTCTCGCTTCGAAACGAGATTCACAGAACGACCCCGTAACCACAAAGGTTCATTCAACTGCCACAGCTCGCGCTGCGTCGTCAGCGGCCACTACCACCACCAGACCGTCATCTCGAACGGGACCACGACCAATGACAAAATTAGAGCATCCGACGACCAAGGGTGCAATTTCTCGGCCTGGCCAGTCACGGTCACCGACCATGGGTGTTGAGCAACAGCAGACTTCCCGCAAACCGGTTGCTGAACCAGGTCGTTCTAGCCAGCAAGCTGTAGGTCAGAAAAAGCCGGTGTGGGGAGGACGGTCATCGGGCAAAGCATCCAAGCCCATCGTCAAGGGACTTTCGATACGTCCCAAGCCGGGCGGGTTGAAGAGTTCTGGTACTAGCAAGCCCGCACCGGAACACGTGCCATTGCCTCCCAGTCCCACTGTATGTCCTGCTGCAGTGCCTCTGCCATCTTCCCCAGTCTGTAGTCCCCGTCAATCACCCCAGCTCGAGCTACCAGCGTCAGAAGAGTTATCTGCGCAAGTCACTGACGATGATACAGGAGATGTTCGTCCTCCCTCCACCTCCATTGAAGCTACACCTTCACGCAACGTGAACTTTCAAGAGTCCCCGTCCAAAACACCCATAACAGCTCTCCTTTCATCCATTCAACGCGGATTCCTATTTACACCTTCATCACCGCTCTCACCTCCCCAAGCTTATGTAACTGAGATCATTGCTCACACATACCGCCCAAACAGCCCAACAGCTCACAAAAACATAGCCTGCGTTGATGTCATCCAGGACGGTACGGCACGACAGGCATTAGAACTGATGGATGTCAACTAGACCATATATAGTCTCATAGTACTCGACTTTAGATTAATGATATCCGTATACTAGATCACGGTGTGGAACTTTGGAAGCATCAACCGTAATACGGAAGGTTCGGCTGCCTTCCTCGTATTGGGTCTGCCTATGAGACCACTGCCTATCCTAGTTCGCTAATCTAAATCTATGGTCAATCAGTGTGTCTGAGACCAGAAGTGAAAGACATGCCATCCATCAATGACTCAAGAACCTGCGTCCCTTGAGTAGTCGTCTGGCTAGAATCTTTCTACCAGTTGCGGTCTTTTTCCGAGCAAGAAAGCCGTGCTTTCTTTTGCGCTTTCGCTGTGAAGGTTGGTACTCGGTACCACGGGAGGCAAAACGCCTCTGACCGAGCGCGTCATACAGTGAAGGTAGCGAGAGTATTTGTGGTCCAAGTAGTGCACGATTGATTAGAATAGAGCGCGACGCCGGAATGATTGAATTCACCGCAGTGAAAGACGGTATATTGAGTAACGGTCTACGAAGTGCTCCGAGAAGTTGAAGAAACATGTTGAAGACTCGAAGCGCTAAAATTTAGACTCACGGGCGATCATGCTCATCCAAGTCATGTGACCATTTAATAGTTCAGGGTTGTACTCAACAAGTGCTTACAAGTAACTTTGGATCCTTCAGAATGTCGACAACGCCAGGAAAACCCAGAATATCAGGTATTCCGACTCCTGGGAAGTCTAGCGGAATCCCTACTCCAGGCAGATTTCGTTCTTCATCGTCCGCCAATTCTCAACCTGCCTTTGACTCTGATGTGGAGTTTATGTCCCGTGCATTCGCAAACGCGATCAAGGCCAATGATCCTGCACAGCATCGCACCAGCACTACTTCGAATACTTCCCCTTCGTCATCTTCTCCAAATTCAAGTTTGGCGACATTGCAATCAGGCCGTCGTTCTGTAGCTGGTCGTCCTCCCTCGGTCGCTTCAACCTCTGCATTTGCACAGAGCAGAACAAAGACTCCTGCACCACGCGCTCCAAGCAGACAGTCAGATGTTTTTACCCGTAGCGTAAGTCGAGCCGGGAAAACATTCGAAGTCGGAGACAATGTCAGGATAGAGTCTTTGGGGTTCGAGGGCTGCCTGAGGTATATTGGAGAGATCGACGGTAAATCCGGCCTGTGGGCAGGGGTCGAACTCAGTGGTGGTTTTTCAGGCAAAGGCAAGAATGATGGATCTGTGGGGGGGTGAGTTTTCTGTTCCCTGTTGACTGCTAGTGCCCGTGTACAATAACAGCTGCAGAGTTCCTTGCTGAGAGTATTTCTGCAGGAAACAATACTTTGTGTGTCCTCCAAATTGCGGTGTATTCGTTGCTGCTATGAAGCTCTCTGCCCCCACAATGCCTTCAAGCTATCGGCCTCCCTCAGTCGCCTCCTCTCGCGGTGGTCGCATAACACCATCCTTTTCTGGTAGAGTCACTCCCTCGCATTCACTATCTTTTGGAAGTGGACGTATCACCCCGTCCAACCTCCTTAGCCGCTCCAACGCTGGCGCAACTCCTGCAGCTCGTAAAACAAAGCCAACTCCACAGTTAGGCTTGTCACAATCGCCAAGACCCGGATTAGACACTCAAATTACCTCAGGTTCGAGGGCCTCCAAATATATTGGTCTCACAGCCAAACAACTGAAAGCTAGTGGCGATGGTACCCCAGAGTATAGTCTTCGTTCTCCATCTTCGCCATCACGCGGACCCTCAGCTGTTGATTTGAATATACACCCCTCGGATTCTCCATTTACCACGCCAAAGGCTGGTGCTGCTCCTCGTGCCCCCAATGTGTACAGCGGCGCACTCACCCCCGGCCTTAAAGGCCGCACTTCTCTAAACACCCCACGCCCAAGGATACCCAGCGCAATTGCTATGCCACCTCCAGCCTCGCCTGCTCGATCAGCATCTTTTACGTCTACTTATTCCTTGAATGATGGCCCCGACCTCACATATGAGGACCCAACGTCGCGCGTTCGGCTGCGTTCTTCGATGGATCTGACTGCTTCTTCACAGGCTTTGCAGGATAAGATTAACCAAATCCTCTTAGGGCAGTCTATTTCGCCACCCAAGATCAGTGGCACCAGTCCATCTCGGCCGTCCTCAGTTGCCTCCCTTCGATCTGCTTTCCCCGACAATGACTTGCAAAAGGACGTTCTGCATTCTCGCCTAGAATCTCTCGAGCGCGAGAATGCCTCTCTTCGTGATGCGGCTGATGCGGCTCGTGCAGACGTTGCGCTAGTCCAAGTACTCGAATCTGAGCGCGATACAGCTCTCGCCTCTGTTACTTCTACAGAGAACCAGCTCCGCACTCTCGAGCGTAAACTCACTGAACGAGAGTCGAAGATTGAATCTCTTGAACGCGCTGCGCTGAAAACAACGTCTGAACTAGAACGTATCAAGAACGAGAACGAGGCCCGTGTCGCAGACTTGCAGGCCAAATTTGACACGAGCGAGTTACTCGTCAAGAGTCTCAAAGAGGCAATCGCGGTGAAAGAGGGCGTCGAGCACGATAGGGATGCGTTACTTAAGGCTAAGAATGACGAAATCGGGCTTTTAGAAGGTCGATTGGAGAAGGTGTCGGGCGAATTGGAGGCGGACAGAAAAGAATTAAACGCACAGATTGATGAACTACGTCAAGCCGGCCAGGTCAGCTATGTTGCATTTGAAACTGACATGAACTTTACCATTATCTTAGGAAACAATTGCGTTGTACGAAGAACGTCTCAGCACGGCAGATTCGCGCCGATACGAGCTCGAGGACCGAGTTATGTTTCTCGAGGACCAAGTCAAGAAAGCCTCGACTCCTCTCTCTCCAAGCGCCGCCCTCCAACGCGCCACTTCCGCTGCTGAAATCGATAACGAGAATCTTCGCGAGCAAGTGCAACACTTGCAACGCAAACTTGCCACGCTGGAGGACTCTCTCGAAGATGCTCATGCGGTATCTGAACGGGAGGAAGCTGCCGTGCGCGAGCGAATCAAACGATTCAAGGACAAGGAGGATGTGATGCGAAACGAACTCAACGAGGGGCGCAAGACTGTTGAACAGGTTCTCAAAGCCGAGGCCCTCGCTAAAAGTCGCGTCGAAGAGGTCGAGGAGGCCTTGCGAGAAAGTACTCTTGCCCTCGAAAACGCCCAGGCCGAAATCGAAAATCTGAGATCCGATGTCACTGCGAGTGGCTTGCTTCGAGCCACTTCACATCTTAACTTAGTCCATCAGGTAGCCGGGCTAGAAACAGACGGTGTTCCCGACTCGCAGAAACTCAAAGCTGATGAGCGCACGCGCCTTATGGAGGAGATTCAAGAGCTACGTGACGAACTCAATCAATTACGATCATCTGCAGCAGAATTTGCGTCGGCTTCCTCAACAGCTGATGTAAGAAACCACTCTGGTTTCATATATGGTCATTGACAACTGCGAGTGTAGGACGACACCAATTGGCAAGCGAAATGTGAGCAAGTGCAAAAGGAGGTGCTTGTTTTGCGCAAGGGTCTCGAGGAGCGTGCTTCGGAGCTCGACGCTATGAAGAAGAGACTTAACCGCGACATTCCTGTCAATGGCATCCAAGAGCCACCGAGGACACCAACCTCATCTAAGCAGGAATCTGCTGAAGTAATGGGTCTCAAGTCGGTTCTGTCCGTAAATTCTTCTTCTTGTGCTCATATTTCACTACAGGCACATTGTTCAAGACCTGCAACAAGAGACTTCAGCAGTGACTCAGCGAAATAAGTTACTAGAGTCTGAGAACAGACTCTTGGTGTCAGAGACCGATCAACTTCGCCAGGTACGACTCATGTGAAGCAACCGACGAACTATCCTTTACCTTTCATTGTAGGAACTGAAATTACTGGAGGAGAACATCGAACAGAGTTTGTTGCGTGAAGAGGCTGCTCTTGGAACACAAAACACACCGGCATCTGGTGACGAGCAGATGGCTCGGTTAGAAGTATGTCAACGCATAAGGTATCCAGCTTGTCGAACTGACTTGCATCTCAGAACGAACTGGAACAGTTGCGCAAGCGTTTAGCTGAAGCTGAGATAAAGACCGCCCGCGTCACACACGACGTACGTGCCAGTCTCTCCTGTTATACCCTCCTAACCAGTGTACAGCTGAATAAAGAGATTGGTGAGCTAGAGGCGCTTGTGGAGTCAAAGGTACGTGTCGTCAATGGATGTAGAGCAGAGTCTGATTCAATTTATAGATCTATCGCGAAGTAAGTTTCCGCAACATATAAGTACGCTACCATACTTATCTAACTTCTTGCAGGATGAACTCGAGCAAGAACTCGAGCGCCTTAAAGAGAAGCTGTCGCGGAACAACAAGAAATTGTCAAAGAATAGCCTCGAACCAACAGATTTACCTCCTCGCAAACGTTCATCCACCCCAAACAGCTTTAATCGAAGTTCTAGCGAAGACGTTTGTGAGATCTGTGAGAGACCGGGGCACGACATATTCACTTGCGACCTTTTGGGGGACGACACGACCTCCGCTCGTGGCCAAAACGCAGTCAAGAAGACGAAAGGAGATCCGTCAGACTTATTTTGCGTTGACTGTGAGGGGCATGGGCATGTAGCTGCTGATTGTCCACACTCATTGGATGTATTCTGAATTTCGTCAAACCTTTTTATGCACCACTGTCGTTTCTGTATAGGATACACCTACAGTACATACTAATCTGCCATCATATACCCTTGACGAGAAAGGCAAGTGTCTCCTATGACGCAGTAAAGTGACGTCATACTGCCTGCATTCCAAAAACATGAGACCTAACGTTTGAACCAACTTGGACTCCTATAATATGTCTTACGCCTCCGTTGTTGCTCACGATGCTCCTCCCTCGTCTGAGCAGGTATGTACTTGCAAAATTTAGAAGACTACTAAGTCGTGCTTACTATGACCCTCAGCCTCGTCCAGATCCTGCGCTCCTCACGACCGAACGCTCCGCTGCAAGTAATGTTATCGACGACACTTCTAAAGTAACCAGCGATTTTAAAGAGAAACCTGCCACATACACATCCGAAACATATGTTCCAGAAGATGTCGATGATGATCTCATCAATCCAGGCAGGAAACAGGTGAAAGGTAAAAGGAATAGGCGCCTTCAGGAGGCTCGGGCGGAAGGCACTTATTTGTGGGAGGTCACAAAACACTATTTGTTTCGCCCAGGTGTTGCTGGTGGTCTCATTGGCCTGGGTATGGTCGCTTTTGTCCGAATCTCTGTGTTGGTTAACGATATTATCCCAAAGTGAATGTCGGTCTTCTGTCTAGCGTGGGCTACAGATTCTACACGAAACCTAGTCTTCGTCAGAATCCCACTGCCATAAGCTCGGCAGCGGCAGGAGCACTGCTACTGATCGGGACTGAAGGTTACGCAGCAGAGAAGTATCGACAGACCCCTATCGGTCGCCAGGAAGAACGACGCGCACATGAGGAAGGCACCCTCATCTACATGCAACTTCGAGAGCACGTCTTTCGTCCGGGTGTCTTGGGCGGTTTGGTCGGACTAGGTCAGCGAAATACCATCTGCCAATTTTTTGAGATGTTCAGCCCCTCCTTGTTTTTTTTTAGTAAACACAGCGATCCTTGGAGCAGTAGGGTATTACAGCTATGCAAACTGGTACAAACCTAAGTGGAACCGGGATGTCGTCACGGCTGTTGCATTCGGCCTTCTCACACTTTGGGGTGGTGAAGGGTGAGCAGGTCCATAGTGCTGCCTTGCATCTCCTGATATTAAGATTTACTTGCAGGTATCTTGCAGAGCGCTATCGTGCAGAACGGCGGAGACAGTGATGTCAATAGGCTATATCTGCGGTTTGGAAGAGCACTTGTACACTATGTCAGCTTACTTTGACGATGAATTCTTTATGTACTGAGCGCCAAGTGCGTTCACTGGCAGACTAGACGAGTCACTTAAGAGAGATTTCCACAGGTCGCTATTGCAAGTCACCACTGAGTGCAGACATGTTAAAGGGCAAGGAATGGCTCACGTATCACTTCATATCGTACATAAAACAGAATTGAAAATTCAATGATATCAAGCTTGACGGTAGGGCTGGGGTTAGTGACAAGGTGGTGGGCCAGCACAGAACGTTGACAAAGGGGAGACAGGACATGAGAAAGCCTACGTGAGGATCACAATCTGCATAGGTCTTGTAAATCAGACGAATGATGTTCACATTGTCTATGCACTGTACACAGGCCATCCACCAAAAGTACGTGGTTCTGGCTGGTTAATCTTCGTCTTCATCGCTTTCTTCCTCTCCTGCACTGCCTTCAACATCGCCTTCGCTGTCTTCCGGCTGCGCAGCCCAGTCTGAAATGTCAAGCTTTTCGTGTCGCACTGATTCTGTCAAGAATGTTTAGTTGTGCTGTTGAAGTGAGCGGGACAGTGGGGTTCACCATTATCTTTTACTTCGTACCCGGCCTGGGTAACGCATCCTACCAACACTGCTTTCGATCCTACAGTAGTACTGTTACCCAAAATGCATCCATCCAGCTTCGCCCTGGAGTAGGGTATGTCATTGTCAGATAATAAATTGAAAATTACACACCCATCAGAAATCACACAATGGTCCAGAAGAACGCATCCCACAATCTTCACCATCTTTCCGATGACACAATGTTTTCCTATGGTAGATTTTTTAATAGTTGACTTCTCTTCGACACGTGTGAAGTCTCCAATGGAGGTGTCAGCTACGAACTGGTGCATCTCATTTTCAGTGACGATCTGATCAAGGCAGGAAGAAGACAGACGTGACGATTTGCTTCGAGGTATGCTGGCAGATTGTTGACGCGAATAGCGAACCCGTCATCCGCTCGGTGAATTATAATTCCTATTCGAATGCTCGTAGCATATTTTTCTCGCTTAGTTGATTGGTACTGCAATTTGCATAACCAAGGAAAGAAGTCTTCTCTGAGAGAGTCAAACCGAGTTTTCTGGGCCAACAAGTCGAGCACAGCGCGTTTACAGACGTAAACATGCGAGTCTAGCAGCCTCGAAGACAACTTCGCCTGTGGGTATCTAAGCAATTGAGTCGCCACACACGACTACGGAGCGATATAAATCACCTTGAGAGTAAGGACATCCGCAGCTCCAGCTCATCGCTATTTTTATCAGTTTCGTGAGGACTATCTACATATAACAGGGTGCCAGTGAGGTGATCCCATACAATCGGAGTTGGCTGTACTGGTGAACCCCACTCATCTGGAGTGGCTAGCTTGTCTGGTTTATGTTCATACCAACACGAAGTCACAATGGAACCATCCGATATCGTGTCCGTGCGGAACTTGTTGAGCAGCTTTGACAGGGGTAGGGAAGGTGGCGGTATGAAGTCGCAAGGGATGAGAATGAAATCTTCCTTGATGCGGTTGGCGAAATGGCGAAGTACGGAGCATGTCCCTGCACTTAGTTCCTGCGATTCATCGAAAGTCTGAAGGTCAATATGAACGGAAGAGAAGGATGCAGATGAAGACTGTGAGTGGATATAATGCGATATTGCAGGGCGGTGGGATGAAGGACAGATCAAAAGGACATCTGAGACTCGATAAGCTATCGTTGATCCGAACAATTTGTATGAAGTTATCAAGTCCACCTTTGATGCCAGATTGCTCGACCCATGACAAGGGATAGTCGAGCATAGGTTTATTTGAAATCGGAAGCAAACCCTTTGGACAGGGCTCATCACCATGTTCGCCAGTCAAAGGGAGTAGTCTACAAATTAATGATGATGTAGTCAATCCATAATTCACGAGTGTCAGGACTTACTCGTTCCCAAATCCTGCGAGGATGACCACTACGAATTCGCGAGTGACTACTTCAACTGGAGTAACGTCAAAGTTCATCATCGCACGCAGGGATACGAAACGAAAGGTTCTGACTCGGACTTGACAGATTCATTGTGATCAGAGTCATACATACCTTCCTGCTGTGACATTGTGACAGTCACGTACAATTGAATCCATAGGCTCCCTGTGACACCCTTAAGCTTCAACCCAGCCAGCCTCATCGATCATCTTCAGGACGCCTTGTCAGCGTTGTGGTCGTCCTTGCCGCAATGGCTGCTCAGCCAACCGTGCATCAGCTATTCAGACGTTTGGAAACTGTAGGCAAGGGTGCCTATGGTTCCGTCCATAAAGGCGTCCATATACCCACAGGAAATATCGTGGCCCTAAAAATCATTAACTTAGACACTGCCGACGACGACGTGGAAGCCATTCAACGCGAAGTGGCTCTTTTAACCCAACTTAGGGATGCCCCCAACGTCACCAAGTATTACGGTTGTTACCTTGACGGCCCGCGCGTTTGGATCGCCATGGAATTCGCCCAGGGCGGAAGTGTCCGCACTCTTATGCAGACCTCTAAAGACCGTGTTCTTGAGGAGCGGTTCATTGTACTCATCACCCGTGAAGTTGTCATTGGGCTCAACTACCTACATAAATCCGCCATCATCCATAGAGACATCAAAGCCGCTAACATCCTCATCACTGCCACTGGTAAAGTTATGATTTGCGACTTCGGTGTCTCCGCACTCTCTGCCACAACTACGAGCAAACGAAACACTTTGATGGGCACCCCAAATTGGATGGCTCCCGAAGTAGCACAACCAGTTCCAGCGTACGATAGCAAGGCCGACATTTGGAGTCTGGGCATCATGATTTATGAGATGGTGAAGGGCGCACCTCCTCACTCAGATTTGAGGGATGCAATCAAAGTCATGCAATTGATAACCAAAGTACAACCTCCTCAATTGGCTGAAGCGGATGGCAGCAAAGAAATGCGAGAGTTCGTATCGCACTGTCTCAAAGTCTCTCCAAACGAGGTGAGTTTTTGGCTTTTGATGTCGCCCTGATTGATGGCATAATTAATTCGAGGAACAAGCGATTTTCCGCTGATGAATTAATAAGAACGAAGTGGATGAAATCGGTGTCAAAGGCAAACGTGTCTACTCTGCGGGAGCTGATACTCCGGTATGATGCTTGGATGCAAAATGGGGGTACTCGCAATAGCTTAGTGGAACCACTCGACTGGGAGAATGAGGAGAAAAGAGAGTGAGTGCCATTTGTCCAGCGCTCCTAATTGCTTAAAGTTATTCCCCAGCTTGCAAGGCGTGGTAGATGAAGAGACGGACCTCTGGGAATTCGACACCATAAGACGTCGAACGTTTCAAGCTGCATTAAAGGAAGATTTATTGCCGGATACCTTTCCAGTTGACTCGGCACTATCAGTTCCTACTGTCAAACCTTCAGCACGGTTACCTACGTCATTGCGTGGCCTTTTTGATGATGACCCTGTACATCTTGGATTTGAAACCTTGCAGGCCCCAATGCCACCTCCACCACTACGTGATACTCCGAGCCCAACACCTCTAGCCCCTTCCTCTTCATCACCATCACGTGATCGTACACCGTTCAAACGTACATTAGCCAATGCAGACAGCACAGATGATGTTCAGATGGTCAAGTATAACGATTTCGCGTTTCCTCCCAGGACAGCTTCTCGAGCGAAATCGAAACTTTCTACCAATGTCCCAACTTCTATGAATGTGGAAATTAAAGAGGAAAATATGCCTCCAGAGGAGAGAGCCGAAGGTATATGCGTTGTAATTGACATCAGCTATTGTCGGCTTATTCTTTTCGCAAGCCTCTGTTACTGCCATGGAGACTACTCCGACCTCTCCTCTTTTGCCACCCGTTAGGCCTTTCGTGGTTCGGGAGAGGAGTGGCAGCTCGTCAAGCAAAGGCAGTGACGGCAGCAGCTCTGCAGCAAATATAATTCTGCCAGGACTTAAAGACGCAGTGAAGGTAGCAACGACGGTATATTATTGAATTGTTCGCTCATGTCATTCTAGGTGCCTACCATTACGTCGGAGCACCAGTTGGGTCTAACAGATTTGCTCCCGCCTTCGCCTATGGCCCTTGTCCACAATAAAAGCTCTTACGTCCATTCTCCTAGTGGATTTGGATCGCCCGCGATGACAAGCGAAAAGAGCTCCATCGGTCTTGGGTCCCTTCCTGCAGCGAACGCTTCCAGTGCTTCCCTTACACTTGCACGGAGTCATTCTCCCTCCGGGCCTTCTAACCTATCTCACTCCGCTTCATTATCTCACTCTGGTCCATCAGCACAATTGTCGACTGTTGGGCCTCAAGTATTGCCGCTGGATCTCTGTAATATCATGAGTCATGACGCCACGAATGTGCAGCTGGTACGGTCCGTGAATGATTTAACAAAATGGCTGTCTGTGATCGAAGTTGGTTTTACAATGATGCTCGAACAAGCCGCAGGGGACTCTATAGCGGAAGAGCAAGAAGAAGGTGCTATTGAAAGGGACTATTTTACGGAAGACACGGACACATGGAAATGGGATTCTGTAACTGATATCGTCTTGGAGTCCAGCTAGTTTTCAAAATTTGATCATCTTGATACCCTAATGGCATTCTATTTTCCTAAAATTTTAGCTGGTAATTGGTAGGTATATGAACTGTATTGATTCCTTTTTGCTGTCCTTGGTAACTACGAAATATAATCATGCTTGGTGAGGTATTCAATGATAACCTCAACTGCTCTTGTTACATCGCATTCGTCTGTTCTGATATGTATATCAGGTTTCTCGGGAGCTTCGTATGGCGCAGATATGCCAGTGAAATCTACGCATAAAATTTAAGTAACAGTGAGGATGTCGTGGGGTGACTTACCCTTGATTGTTCCTGCACGAGCTGCTTTATAGAGCCCTTTCGGATCACGCTGTTCAACCACACTGAGAGGAGCATCAACAAACACTTCGATGAACCCGAGGCCTCCTTTCTCATGTAGTTCGCGGGCTACTTGTCGATCTGCTCTGTAGGGCGATATAAAAGCTGTGATCGCGATGCAAGCAGAGTCCGCGAATAATTTGGAGACCTTCAAAGAAAGATGAGGACATAGCTGCTCCATAATCCTAAACTTCTATGCAGTACCTCGCCTATGCGCCTGATATTTTCCACCCGGGACTTCTCGTCGAAACTAAGGTCCTTATTGAGCCCTAAGCGAACGTTGTCTCCATCGAGCCGGTAGGTGAATTTGTGTAAGTGAAGTAGATGTTGCTCCAGAGCACATGCTATCGTTGACTGCGAGGGAATCAGCGCACCAGTGGTAAAATGAGAGAGTAACAGACCTTTCCGCTAGCACTGAGTCCAGTCAGCCAGATAGTTACGCCCGTCTGTTTGAGCAGGCCAACGCGTTCTCGGGCGTCAACAGATCCTATAAACCTTGGTATTTATTTCTGTGTAAAGACCATTCCATGAACACACCTGGATGGAAAGTGATGTTTGTTGACATCTCGGTAATAGTGGAGGATGGCTTGAATTCAGTGACTCACTGTGTTATATCCAGCTCTCGACTCCCGATTCCCCACGTAAGGTTTTGGGACATGTCGCAATCTAGGCGTCAGTATGACAGCATCACTTCATACATAGACTGGAGCTAAACATAGTCGCTTACTGTTCAGTGTTGTCTCAGCAGCAGTTGGGAAGATTTTTTCTACTGTATCATATTCACAACCAAGTGTTTCTACATACCACTTGTGGAGTGTACTAGGTATGGTTGCTGGATGTATCAAACATGACACCAGTAATGTTACTCTACTCATACTGCTTCACGCCTCCGAGGCGATGCACGTAAAATATCATCCACCCTGTTCACATCCAAGGTTAAATGACAGATCATGGTCCGGAGGGCGCACTGCATACCTTATTATCATCTCTGCTGCTTCACTTGCACTGAGCACAACCTGTCGCTTCAGTTTATAGCTCTCCGTAACACCTAATTGTCTCATCGAGCCAATGGTGCCCTGGTTCATATCTGAAGATCCTATAAGCTCAGCTCGCGCCTGAAAAGTACACAGTCATACCGAGTCCGGCATCTGACTGTCCCTCGTAATGTGCAGCTCTTAGCTTAGCGACAAGGTCGCTTGAGTCATAGCCAGCATTGTCCGCGAGGATAGTCGGTATTTGTCTCAGAGCACGGCTGAATGCCTCGGCAGCTATCGCCTTCTTGCCTTTGACCTTCCGCGCGGCCTCCTCTACGGCGCAGCTCATTAACATCTCGGAACATCCACCGCCCAAGACGATGCGTGTCTCTTTGACTGTTTGTGATAAGACAGAAAGCGCATCATGCAACGAGCGCTCGGCCTCGTCGACCATCTGATTGGTTGAACCACGAAGCACAACAGTGCAGGCTTCGCCCGCAGCAACACCAGAGAATTTTATAAGCTGTAATTCTTGGTCAACTCAAATCAGCGAGGAGACAATGACGCTAACCTTATCCTCGCCAATGATGATTTCCTCAATTAAATCGCACTTCCCAAGCTTCACCAGATCTGGTCTGTCAAACGTGCTTGCAATCTCACCACCGGTGACGAGTGATAGCCGCTCAACACCCTCAAAATCGGCGTGCTCAATCACCAAGATGCCTTTCTCTGCCAAGAGAGACTCGGGGTAATTGTAGATGAGCTGCCGGTTGACAAAGCAATTGATACCATGTGCGGCGATCGTGTCGACTTTGGCTTTCATTTTTTCCTACAATGCGTTGTTAGAAAATTAAGAAGACCATAAAAGCGTGCAAGTACCCGTTCAGCCCGTTCAAGCTCAGCAAGTTTTCCAGTCGAGTCCACTTTTACTCTGGCTCCAAAGATCTTGATTTTATCGGTGTCCATTGCTTTTGAGGAACTCTTTAGTCCTGGATCAATGCGAGATGAACCCACACGTACAGGTGTTCGCAATGAGAATTTTTGTATTCTCCATCCGTTTGGGCGAGTTCACGGCAATGGTTTTGTCGAGAATGAAACCTGTGAGGTACGTTCGTGAGATGGATAGGATTCATTGTGTCTCTCAGCCAACCTTCATCAAGGTATGAGTCTGTGAGTTTGCCTCCAACCTTCTTGATTACCTGAATATGCTCCAGATCCGTTGACCCCTAGAAAATAGTAAACACTAGCACTGTCATATATAGCGCTTACAATATACCTTTAATCGAAGCACAGCATCTACAGCTAGGTTGGCAAAGTAATCTTTTTCTTGTGATAAAACTTTTGATGACAGGGTCGTACGCGCAATGTTGAAAAGATCCTGGCGGAACTGGGCAACATCGGAGCTGTTTGAGAGCACAAACCAAGTCGTTCCCGTGAGAAATCAGAGAGCGACGCCAAAAAACGCGAAGACATACGCGTGATCGACTGCTGCATTTTCCAGTGCCGCAAGCGCAGCAATGCTTGCGATCCGGTATCCCTCCACAATCGTCTGAGGATGTATTTTCATTGCAACCAATTTTTCTGCTTCCCTTAGCAGTTCTGCCGCTAGCACACACACGCTCGTCGTTCCATCTCCGACTTCGTCGTCTTGGACTTTTGAGATGTTGACGAGGATCTTGGCTGCTGCATTGTCGAGCTGGATGGACTTCAGAATCGTTGCACCATCATTAGTCACCTGGATATCTCCTGAAGATGCCGATTGCAGAATCTTGTTCATGCCTTTTGGCCCAAGCGTTGATTTCACGAGGTCGCCGAGAGCGAGGGCGCCAACGAAAGAGGATAAACGGGCATTTTCAGCTTTCTCCTCCGTTGCCTGCAGAACACTAGATGTCACATGAAATGCAAAAACATCAAGCTGCCGGAGCCTACCTGTTGACCGAAAATATGCATGGACATGACTGCAGTTTGGAAATTGTGGGATGACAATCGTGCTCCACAAAGAAATGCAGATTAGAATCATGAAAACAAGATTTCCAATTGTTCCCAATGTGAACAACACCCCTGTCCAGTATTCATTTTCTATGTTCTACATATACTGGTGCAGAGATCGTGTACATCCCCGGTATTTACATAGTACTCCAAAGTCCCATGTCAGCTATGTAACTTTGTCGAGTTCCCCTCTACTCCCGTCACGGTCTGTTAATTAAGTAGACAGAATCGCGGACTTTGTTGCAGCCCCACACAACCAGATGACAGACTTCTTGATAGCTTCCGTTACCTCTTCTGTGCTCAGAGGCTGATCAACAGGTGGGCAATGCAGGAAAATGACTTTAGTGGTCGACTTATCAGTCTTTCCGCTTGCCCGTTTACTCTCAGCTAGGGAGCAGTAATAGATGAAGTCGCAAAGGTAGTGTCCTGCGTCCAGGGACGAATATATTTGCTTCCAAAACTATGTCAATATTGCTGACAAGATACATGCAGATCGCTCTCACCTCGATGCCAGACCTCTTGAGGTGATGTACAAGCTTCTCGACATCAATTTCTGTGAAAATCTCCTCGGGGAACGACTCGTATCCCTTTCCAAATCCACGTTTAGGTGGTTCTGTACCATCAACAGGTGGTTCAATGAGGTATTCACTTAAACGTGCTCTTTCCATCCTCTCCATCTCCGAAGGTTCTGATTGTCCGCGATTGGAATTAGAATTTTCCTCACGCGTCACGCGTACGATCGGCGCATGACTACCAGTGGCATCCTTCATATTATAACCAAACTTATGTCCAACCCTCTCCATTCGCAGTGGTCCTCTCCCAGCGACGCCTACGTGAAAGATGAGATCGAATCCATCTGCTGGCAGTATGGTATCTGGTAGGTCAGGATCTACAGGAGGAAGGACAGGTGGCCGCGCGTGTAGTCCGGGTACAATGGCAAGAACGTCTTCGTATGTTACGGGGACTTGAAGGGTCGATAGATAAATGTCGCGTGTGTCTTGGGTAAAGCTGTTTTCTTCGGCCGCGGGGTCTTGATCATCAATTATAACGGGTTCATCAAGCGAATCGATGGTCAAAACGGTGTTGTGAAGTGGCTTGACAGCCAGCCATGATGGATTGACCGCATAGCGAGAGAACGGCTAGGCTCACTGACAGTTAGGCGCGCGTTTGAAAGGGTGAGAGCGAGTAAGGCCCCAAGGCAACTCACACCAAAGCCAGTTATAAGAACATGATAAGGTCGCACTTCTGATGCAGGAATATCGTTTATATTGATAGCTGGCATCGTTAGCTCGAGATATGCGAATCAACAAGGATGAGGTGTATATCCTGTGATCGAGAGCAGTGCTTCGCCCACGAGCTGGGACCCGGGACACTGTCAAATGGTCTAGTGGGTCCAGGGTGACCCACTGGTTAAACGGAAACTTTCAACCTTTTGCTACTAACACGCACTTGACGGAATCTTGTTATTGAGCTTGAATTCAAGTTTGAAACCAACATTTCCGTAGAACTTTGAGCGCTGTATCTTGATTAACGTATCGACGCTTTGGCAGAGCTTTGATAGATCTGGCTTACCTCTGCTCTGAATGACCGCATGCCTTCAGGTGCGCTACCGTACTCGCCATCTCACTCACACCGACGGCTAATGTTCCTGACAGTATCTTGGTCAGTCATCCGATCTACCCTGAGCATCATACTCCTAACATTTTATTGCAAGTCCAATATGTCTACAACCTGTTTTGGAGGAGAACATCAATAAACATCTAGACAGTGGCTGTAGTATTCATGTGGCGCCTCAAGGGGAATCCTCCTCTCAACCCAAAAACATGGCACCCAAGAAGTTGGCGCCGATATTCAGCAAGACCCGTGACAAGCACACCAGCGCTCTGGCTGATGGCCCTTCAGTACCTCCATCGATGACCCAAGACACGCCCACTACCTCCAAGAAACGAAAGTTTGAGATGCCATCACTATCGGGTAAACGCTTCAAGGGCATGTCTTCTAACTTCAAGTCCGCCATGCCTCTTGCGGAAAGGCTTCGCCCACAATGCCTGGACGAATTTTTCGGGCAGAAGCACTTAATTGGCCCCGACTCTATTCTGATGAGTATGCTAGACAGTGGTATTATTGGCAGTCTCATATTATGGGGACCACCTGGGTGAAAGAATTTGACTATATTATCATTAAATTCGTTATTGACATTCTTCGAGCTGCGGAAAAACCACTTTGGCAAGATTATTGGCACGGCACATGGACTGCAATTTCAGAGAGCTAAGCGCGACTTCTTCTGGTACGAACGATGTCCGCGCAGTGTTCGAAGAGGCTAAAGCAACTCTCTCATTGACTGGAAGGTAATGCAGAACTTTTCTCGCATTTTACTTCGTTGACTTCACTTGTGCCAGAAAAACAATACTGTTCTTGGATGAGGTACATCGTTTCAGCAAGGCGCAACAGGTGCTATTCTTCTGAACACATTTGCAGCTATTTCTGAAGCGAATGAACAGGATGTCTTCCTTCCATGTATTGAGCAGGGCCAAATACAGGTATGTAATACAATGGAAGCTCCTCAACTATTAACAAAATAGAAGATGATTGGAGCGACGACTGAGAATCCGTCATTCAGGCTGACAGGTGCCTTGCTGAGTCGTTGTAGGTGAGTAAAGATGTTAGTTTTATTTCAAGCACCGACTTCTGCAGAGTGTTAGTACTTGAGCGCTTGACAAACGATGATATCCGGAGTATTATCACTAGTGCTGTGGAGCGAGTCTTGACATCCGTCCCCCGTGAACAACCAGAAGCTAATCCACTAGTGGGTACAGAACCCATGGCATCGCAAAATGTGCTGTCTCGGTCTCAACCTCAGTCTCAGTCCTCGCAGGCGCCTATCAGTTGCGATGGTCCATTTCAGCCGTACGCCCAACTCACAGACCGCGTCATGTCTTCCATTGTATCTCTTTCTACGGGAGATGCACGGACTGCGTTGTCTTTGCTAGAACTCGTTCTGGCTTCTAAACCTGATAGAGATGAACATACCCTTCTCGTATCATTACGCCAAAGTGTCTCTACTTCTTACGATCGAGTAGGGGAGAGCCACTACGACATGATTTCAGCGCTCCACAAGAGCATCCGCGGTAGCCACGGTAGTGCTGCGATGTACTGGCTAGCACGGATGCTGACAGTAGGAGAGGACCCATTGTATATCGCGAGAAGATTGGTTGTCTGTGCAAGCGAAGATATTGGGTTGGCTGATGCGCATGCCCTTCCTTTGGTATGTCAATCAATAACTCAAGGCAAATCCCAATCGAGCATTTCCAGGCAATGGCAGCTCTTCAAGCTTGCCAGGTTATTGGAATGCCCGAGTGCCGAATCAACCTAGCGCACTGTGTAGGTTATCTGTCAGAAGCGCCGAAATGTACCCGTGCGTACGAGGCATACAACCGGGCGGAGGTAGCGGCAAAGTTAGACCCGACAATGCCTGTGCCCATGGCGGCCCGTAATGCTCCGACGGCCCTCATGAAGGAGCTTGGCTATGCTGAAGGCTATAATTATAACCCAAGCTTTCGGTGCGTCAACGTTTTCGGAATGCTCACTGAAGTGTCGCTAAATTCACCTGTAACCATAGGCATCCCGTGCACAATGAGTACCTCCCGATTGCGTTTCGCGGCGATGAATTTTTAAAGGAAGTTGGAGACCTGTCTGACAAGGATTGGAATGAAAAAGAGTTATTGCGTTGGGAGCAAGAAGAGAATGGCGGACGGTTATGGGAAGGTCGCTCATCTGCTCAACAGCGTCGTTGAACTCTGTATCGTTTGGCTGCGGTTGATCCCTCCCTTAATAAGTTACTGTGCCATTGAACAACGAGTCTCTCGGATCTGCCGTTGCAAAGAATCACATGCCTCGTTCACACGTTTCATGAAATTCCTCGATGCACTAGGTGGCATATGTGAGCGCGGATAATCTTTTTAGTCGTACATGTACAATTTAGGGTTAAATCACAGAGATAGAAAGGTCGGTACTGTGTGAGTGTTGAAGCACGTGGTTTGCGGCCTATTGAATGACAAATGCAACGTGTATTCACCTTGATGCGACCCACTATGCACATGCGCGCATCCTCGGAAGTGAGAACAGTACCGTCAGTTCCATGCGAGTCTTACACAGGTAACTGATAGTTCGGCCGCCGGTATTGCCGCATTACAGACCCACCCATGAACCGGTGCCATCCTGCCGGAAAGATTGTACATGCGTAACGAAAACGTGATACCCTGCCAGCAAAACCAACATCATAAAGCCAACTTAGGTGCGCAATATTCAGTGCAAGATTGGCCCAAGTAACTTCCCCCAGGCACGTATACTATGTTATGGCACTCCAAATGCCGAAATAGACCTATTTTCGCTAGACTGATCGCTCCAAGGTACCTCCTTATCTTGATCACTACTAGACACGAAACACACATGGTCACGATACCACGCGTGCAGGTCCGTACACACCACAGACATGGCCGTACCGAACAGCTGGATTTCCAATTACGAGAATAGTCGCTTACCTGGTAAATACTTAATAGTCTGCTGAGTGCTGAAACTTCTCGCTTCTCTTGCAGTACTGTCTTATCAGTTACGATGAGTCTGACCACTGCAGGGGCGATCAGCGATCACGCTGTGCCCAGCGAGAAAGCTCTTAGCACTAGTGACAAATCCTTCGATGGGAAAGGCGACGGTGAAACTGCAACAGTTGATGTTGACTCGAACAGCGAGGAAGGCGTGCTCTCCAATGAACGTGATATTGCTACGCACGTCATCTCGGTGGACGATGACCCTTCTCTGAACCCGTGGACATTCCGTGCATTCTTTATTGGTCTTGGCCTCTCAACCTTTGGCGGAGTACTCGGTGAGCTTTTTTGACTTCGTTTTTAGCCAGTATGATACTCATTAATGTCAATTTGTAGCGGAAATCTATTATTTCAAGCCTGTGCGTAATAGAGCAAGCATGACGACTTTATGTGCTCATATCATTACCGCAGCAAACAGTTTTAGTGTCATTGATGTTCCTCGCGGTTGTTTCTTATATCTTGGGCGTCTTCATGGAGACTGTTATTCCTCGCCGCGGATTACTGCGCTATCTTAACCCCGTAAACTAATTCACCCACCGCCGTTGCTTCATTCTAAACATCTTTCACAGGGGCCGTTCAACAAGAAAGAAAATGCTTTCGTTGTGATCATGGCAAGCGCCTCTGCCAACTCCGCCTTAGGTACCGAGGTTCTTGCTGTCCAGCGGTCGGTGAGCCTTACTCATATTGATGGAATTTACTGATCTTTGCTAAAGGTTGTATTACAATATCACGCCCAATGCCGGTGCCTCAGTATTCCTACTCTTCTCATCTCAACTGCTTGGGTACGAGAAGTTTTGTTAAAGTTCTAGCGGACGCTGACAAATTTCTCAGTTATGGAATTGGTGGCATGATGAGAAGTATGTTCACAATTGAGTCTGTGTTTGAACCCGGTGTTCACATACCTCTACTAGGCATCCTGTTATATCCATCGAAGATGTTGTACCCCGGTGTGCTACCATTGCTGTCCATGTTCGATGCTCTCTATGAGGGTGGGATGGCAGCACGGAAGAAGCTCAGAGTCTTTTACATTGTGTTTGCTGCGTAAGTCCCTCGATTAAGACCGGCAATGATCAAACATGCTGATCAACCTAGTATCTTTTTTTGGGAGCTTTTCCCAGAATGGATCTTCCCGCTTCTGACCGGGTTTTCAATTATCTGTCTTGCAGCTCCCAACAATGCCGCCGTCTCGCGAGTGTTTGGTGGTACAAACGGTAACGAGGGTCTAGGGCTCCTGTCTATCTGCTTTGACTGGCAAGTAAGTGTGAACACGAACTTCGAAGTGGATCGCGTTACTGACTGGATCTGCGACAGTATATTTCTGGCGGGGTGAACCCTATGACTATCCCGCTTAAAGCACAGGTATGACCTCTTCTCAAATCCGTAGGCCAGAAGCCTTACATACTTTTTGAATAGGTCTCGAATTTGCTGGGCTACATCCTTTGCATGTGCGATCACTCCGCCTTGATTCAAGACCTTGCATTTACTTATGTCTAGGGTCGTGTTTGTGGCCGTATATTACAACAACATCTGGAAGGCCCAGAACTTCCCATTCGTTAGTCTACATTCATGTAGAATGGCATGAACATTGACGCCAACTCCCCACAGCTTTCTCAACTCTTGTTCTATGAAAACGGAACACAGTACGATCAAACACTCATTCTCAATGCCAACTATGAAGTCGATCCCACACTCCTTGCTGAACAAGGCGTACCTTACTATTCCAGCACTTGGATAGTGTACTTGCTTTCCTCAAATTGGCAAGTTCACCAAACATTAGTGAGACTCTGCGGACTGACAGCTTGAAATCTTAGGGTTTGGCGGCCACGTTCACTCATCTTCTCCTCTGGAACTGGGACGATTTGCGCTCTGCATGGAGTTGGATGAATTTGTCAAGCATCAAAAAAATATGGGCGAATTTTAACTGGAAGTTCTGGCAATCCGACGGAATGCGGAAGCAAGACGTCGACGATGAAGATATCGATCCCCACTACAAGCAGATGCTGAAAGTTAGTTTTACATTTTTCTGCATTCAGCTTACCAACATGAATATTTCTGTATAGTATCCCGATGCTCCCAATAGCTGGTACTTCGTCGTTTTCGTCTTGGCCTTTATTGTCGCCCTGGTCGTTTTATACAAGACCAATTCGACTTTGCCATGGTGAGTAGCTGTGATTGGAAATGTGGTTCAGGCTGATGAGCGGTGAAGGTGGGGCTTCCTTATCTCGCTCTTGCTGGCGACAATTTCTATTCTATTCTTCTGTGCACTCGCCGCGATTACAGGATTGATGTTTACCATCCAGCCGTAGGTCTTTGAATTCAATTTCGATCTTCGATATTTAAATTTGCATCAGGTTTGTCCAGATGATTGGTGGTTACCTTCACAAGGGGTTGCCAGGTGATTGCCTTGCTCGTTGTTGGTTTCTAATGTGCTTTGATTGACGAATGCGACAGTGGCAAATATGTACTTCGTTCTATATGGATATAGTATGTGTCAGCTTTGCGTTCCAAGAACAGGTCGGCTAACCCAATGTTACAGACACTGTCAGCCAAGCCCAACTACTACTCCGCGACCTCAAGATTGCTCAGTGTGCGTATATTTCAAGCGTGCTTGGGGGAGGACGGGGCAATCTGTATTGACCGTAATTTACAGATGCAAAGCTGCCACCTCGCGCTGCATTTACCGCCCAGATTCTTGGAACGCTGCTTGGTGCAGTATTGAACTACAGTGCGCACGCCGCTTGTTACATGACTACAAAAATCAACTGACATTGGACTTGCAGTCATGATGAATTCAATCATAGATAACCAACGTGAAATCTTGTTGTCTGTTCAAGGAACCAATATCTGGTCTGGCCAACAGCCACAGATGTACAACTCTCAGGCAATTGCATGGGGTGGACTCAGTCACGAACTCTTTTCCATAGGCCAAAGATACCAATGGGTTCCTTGGGCCTACGTAATTGGACTTTTCATACCTGTTCCTTTCTGGGTCATTCACAGGTACTGGCCGAAGCTTCGCGCTGATTATCTTTATACTCCAATTATCGCGTACGTTTAGTGTTCCTTAAATTACTGACAGTATGCTCACATGTTTCACAGCTACTTCATTGGATGGCTTTGTGTTGGGATCAATTCATCAATCCTGTCCTACTTTGCTATCGCATTCCTCTCGCAATGGTGGCTGCGCACGCGCTACCCTCGCTGGTTTGCTAAATACAACTACATCATCGGAGCTGGTGAGTATTCTTGAACGTCATTAGGGACCCTGGACTAATCAAGCGATGTAGCCCTTGACGGAGGCACTCAAGTCATGGTGTTCATGCTGTCGTTTGCGGTGCAAGGCGCTGCTGGGACCTCTCACCTGTTCCCTGCATGGTGGGGCGCGAACCAAGGAGGTAATTATGACCACTGTCTCATGTTAAACTGAGATCAGTGATCATTGGGTAATTATGGGACTTATCGCACGTATCATTACTAAGTGGCTCGTATCCATTGTGTATCAGGATATAGATCATATAAGAGAATGTACAGTATATATGCATGGTGCAGCACTATTTCCACGCCTTCAACTATGTAGCTGAGACGAGCGGCGGAGGAAAACGCCTCATTGAATGCGTGCCACAAGTGTGAAATATTGCACTGCCACCAATGCTTCTCACCCGATCACTCCTGCAACTGGCATGGCTCCGGCTAGTGTTGTTGGCAGAAGTCTGCCATTCTGCCAATGGCAATTGCCAAGCGGCAATTGCCGGCAGTAGGTCGAGGGCGTTGGGCAGAAGTCGGCAGAAGTCAACGTGAATCTTATTTGTATTATCATCAAATAGAATATGTTTGACTTCAAATAAGTGTATCTGAGCCTCCGTGCACGCCAATATGTCCTCGAAAAAGTCTACGGGCCGCCCTACTCGAAAAATCATCACCAACCACTTTATCCAAGATCAAAAAGTCCAAAATTCATCCAACCGTTATTTTTACAAATGCAACTACTGTTCGACATCTATAGAAGGTCGCGATGACAAACATCTCAAGCATATTCTTGACCGGAATATTTGCCCTACAGCTCCAGATCACGCTCGCACAGAAGTCCGTAACTATCTCGCTACAAAGAATGGAAATCAAGCACTACTACTCCCACCTATTGTGGATGCAGATTCTTCTTCATCCCCATCAACTTCAGGAGACACAGCTAAAGCTCCACAGAAATGGAAGAACCTCTTTGGATTTGTGGATCTTCCGGTCACTCCAGAGCAAGCAACATGTGCAAATTTCAAATTGTTTCAGTGAGTTCAAGTGTCACAAATCATTGACTGTGTACTGACTGCATGAATATTAAACTGTTAAGGTCATACTCAAAGGATAACTGGATCTGAAGGGCTTTGGCCTCAGCTTGTGCACTGTGCCCCTTACCCAAGTATTGCCCCTTATTTCAGGAAGGCAAGACTAGCGCATCCGGAAGGTTGGACAAGTAGCATAACAGATCCGGATGACTTCCGGATGAGGGATAAGTATCATATGGCTAATCTGGATGAGTCCAGACTAGAAACTAATGGTAGTGGACTGTCAGAGACAGAGGTGGATACAGATAGACTATAGGAATCAATCCTAAGTCTTGGAGGGTGACAAGAGTTAGAGGTACTCAAGTCCAGAGGACAGGAATGAGCAGAACTAAGATGATATTTGAACTGAGGTACTACAGAAAGTTACAGGAGGTTATATACTATAGGTATCTAACGGAATGATCAATCAGCAGAGTCTGAGGCTATGTACAAAGCATGTGGATTAGTCTATTGGTAAGTAGAAAATGGATCACAAATCATGAAATGGAAATGAAACAATAGGTAGTGGATAAGGGAGCAGGACAGATAACGAAATACGGCAGTGGGGTTACTGAAAAGAGATGAGCGCGTATTTGGAGAGGTGACGGAGGACGACGTGGACAGGAATGACAGATTTTGAAAGATTGGACAGAAATACCGGAAGTATAGATATGGGGATGATCAACGCAGAGTCTGAGGCTATGTACAAAGCATGTGGATAGTCTATTGGTAAGTAGAAATGGATCACAAATCATGAAACGGAAATGAAACATAGGTAGTGGATCAGGGAGCAGGATGGATATACAGATAACCAAAATACCGGAGTTTGGGGGTTACTGAAAGGAGATGAGCGCTGGTTGTGGATTTGGATGAGTTGTGGACCAGACTGGACGAGTGGACAAATTGAATGACGAGATGTTGGAGGGAGATAAGATGTGGATCTGAGATGAGATAAGGGTCGGATCTGAGATCCGGATATGCGGATATGACATAAACCCACAGATTCATTATTCATGCTAATATACCTTTCTTGGTTGCAGAGAACTGGTTTTTCCGTAACTTCCTTGATGAAATTTGGCCCTCATATCAAGCACCATCATGTTATGTGCTGTCACATTCAATTATGGATAGTGAAGGTGTGTGCATCCAAATTGAGGACATTGCATGTCTCAAGGAATGTAAAAAGCTTATGTATTTGCTTGATGGGTGGGAGGATTAAATAAAACAAAGCTTGTATGGGTCAGTTGGTGTTAAGAACCATGCTCAAAGGAGAGAGACTGACTCATAGGGGCTTGGCCTCAGCTCGTACACTGTGCCCCTTACCCAAGTATGTGCCCTTCATTTCAGAGGAAGTCTGATGATGGTCCAACAAAGTCTGGAGGACTTCTGGAGGAGCATGGGAAATGTCCGGAAGAGCGCGGGAGAGTTCTGGAGGAATGCAGGAAATGCTCAGGAGAGTTCCTGCTGCAAGGTAATACTTCTACAGGAAAACAGGATGGAAGGATAGGAGGTCCAGAGGACAGGAGGACAGAAGGTCTGGAGGTATGGAGGACAGAAGGTCTGAAGGTACTGGAGGGCAGAACTGTCCAAAGGACAGGATACCTGGAGGTATGAGGGACAGGACGTCCGGAGGTCCGGAAGGAATAGGGGCTACATCAGATGAAGTCCAATGTAGAAGCAAACAGAGGTAGACTACCCTAAGGTAGAGTCAGAGGGACAGGAAGTGGACCTAAGTCTGGAAAGAGGGTAAGTGCTGGAAAGGCAAGACTCCAGCCTAGGGAAGCAATCCCTAGACTTGGGACAGAGACATAGGGGACAAATCCGAAGGTCCGGAATTCCAGCCTAGGGAATCCTTCCCTAGGCCTTATGGAAAAGGACAAGACTCAGATGGACTGAAGTCCGGAAGATGATTGGCAAGTGGAACAGGATCTAAGATGATAAGATATTCAGACTGAGGACTCTACTGTAGTTGTACAGGGGTTATATACTAGAGGCTATCTGAGAGGATCAGTAAGCAAAGGAGGAAGGCTATGTACGAGCATGTGGAAACACATTGGTAAGTAAGACGGAACATATGTAAATGAACTCGGAGATGAAACTAGTACAAGGATCAATCAGCAAGACGGAAACAGAGATAACTGAGAACCAGAAAGGCAGAGATGCCTAAATGGGGATAGGCACAGGATCTCAGACAGAGGGTGGGAATAGGTCTGGAGATAGTACAGTTAATATCCAGAGGTCTGGAGATCTGGGGATCCTGAAGGCAGGGCGGAAACAGGACTGAGATATGTGAGGTGGTGGATGTAGTCCGGAATCCGAGAGGAGGTAAAGTCCGGATGTCTTTGCTGGACAGAATGTGCATAGGGTGGACAGGATAGGGGATCCAGGAATGAGTTGGATATGGGGTCCAGAAATAGGTCCGGAAAGCGTGGGAATATGATGGGATCTATGTCTGGCATACAGGATATGACAGTTGGCTGCTGAAGTCAATCAGCCTCCAGTCATGTTGAACCTTGAGGATATGACAGGGCACTGAGGTTCTGCAGACAAACTCCTTGACATCTCAGTGAAAGCTTTGGAAAGAATGGAGATCGGAGATGGACGTAACATAATCACAGCAACAACTGACAATCCCACCATGATGAAAGCATTCCAATGGAAGTTCCAAGAGAAATTTTACTGGGTTCTCATAAGATCTTTCCCCCCTTTAGTCAAAGTATTCCAATGAAATGACGAGTCTAGACCTTCCCATGCTTTCTCCATGGCCTCAATACAATCATCAGAGAAATTTGTGCACACCCATTTATGAAGCAGCATGTGACAAAAGCTACTTGGGTAGTGACATTCTTCAATGGGTCCCACTACTGGGGTGGTCAGTTGAAAGAACAGGCGAAAAAGGATGGCATCAACCATGGATTGAAGAAAAACTGCGAGTCTTGTTGGTATGCGCTTGTTCTCCAGTCAATGAGTGTCTGTGATCATAGGTGTGAAAAAATATAACTACTATCAGTTTGAGCAAAGAATTAAATGAACTCTAGACAATCACTTTCCCATTTATGTTTGCGGGAAGATGCACAGAAGAAGATCGGAGGCCTCTCACCTGTTGCCCCAGATGTTGTCACCATTGTCCTCTGCAATGCAGATTTTTGGCCCACCATTGAACAAGGGATCAAGGTTATGGAGCCAATTGTTGACCTTATTGGAGATGAGGAGTCCCACAATTTGTCACTCACTTCATGCATGCTTGGGCTAATTCAGCATGCGAAAACAATCTCTCAGTTGCCAATTGAAGGAGATAATGTTCACTTCTGGCAACACACAAAGGCTGTCTTCAACCAGCGTTTTTTTCGCAATGAACACAAAAACTCACAGTCTCACGCTATTCTTACACCCAATGTGCCAAAAACTCGTGATTTCGCAAGCCATAAATGGATGTTCATTCAAATTTATGGTGGAGGTAGCTTGTGACATTGCTAAACAGTGGCAATGGAGCAAACAGCTTGCAAAAATGCTTGTTGCTGACTTAAAGGATTATCACAAATGCTCTAGAGTATTTTCAGGAGGGCAGGCCGATGCACTTGATTGGTGGGAAACCCTCCCTGTCAGTGCCAAGCACTGTCCATTGAAGGCATTCACGATCATAATCCACTCAATTGTACCTCATGCTGCTGATGTTGAGTGTTATTTCTCGGGTCTGGGTGGGGTACAATCTGTGAAGTGCTGCAACCTATCAGTTCAGACTTTTGAGTCTCTGAGCAAACTCCAGGCAAGCTATGCAAATTTCTTGCACAAGGTGGATCACGAAGCCAGCAAGCCAGTACATTGCAAACATGCCCATATGCACACTCGGCCAGAGCATGGACTTGACACAGCCTTTGCAGACAAACTTCAAAGGTCATTTGCATGGGTGCCACCACTCGCTGGTGCCTCTTGTAACTCAGATGATGAATTTCTTGCAGGTCCTGAGTCAATTACAGATGAGGAGCTGCTTGAAGAATTTGACAGGTTTGAAAATGAGATGCTGGAGTCACGAGGCTTGCAAGAAGGTACTGGTGAAGTCCCAGATATTTTCAAGGGAGATATTATTGATTGGGATGAGCTGGAGAAAGTCAATAAAGGAATTACACCTGCAGGGTTTGTTGAAGAGATTGATGTGGTTGGCTGTGGGTCACAAGGCACGGAGGCAGGCTGGAACATCAATGCACTGTTGACGTCAGAGGGTGTAGCATCCATGCAATAGCTTAGATAATTTTTTGCTGTTATCTTAGAACACACAGAAACCCTCAGAACAATTCTGCTGACTTTTGCCATTCTGCCATTTTTTTGGCAGAACTCACCCCAAAATACTTCTGCCCCCTACACTAGCTCCAGCTTATTGCCAGAGTTAGGGTTAGCTGAACTAAGCATTAGTTCTGGCTTATATAATTTATGGCTCGACTTGGCTAAAATAGCCGCTCAAAGCCAGCTCAAAACGAAATACTGCAACACTTGTAGGGCTGCTCAATTCTAAAATGTTGTTGTCAATGTTGACTGAGTACTGTACATGAACATGATTGTTGTTGCTTATCCAAGGCACATGCTGATTGCCAAAGTTCAGTTAGTCATTGTTGGACCCTGTTGAACTGACTGCTGATTCATACATAGTATTGCTTATCATCAATCAACGTCATTGTTGACTGCTATCACTCCCACACAGACAAATGCCTTGTGTGTGACTGTGAAAGAGAGATCTAAATGAGCTTATGAGCTTACACTCTGTACAGGCTAGTGCACTTGCAGTATCCTGGTGTGAGCAAGGCCATTTTGAGCAGCCCTTGAACAGGCAAGATCACAATGAAGATGAAGATAATCATACCTCGTGTTTTTTCTCACCCACATGAGTGCAGGGCTTCATGCACTGTCCATTATATTATCAACTCAATCCCATGGCCCTTACAATCAGTGGCAAAAGTGCACTGAGTTTTTCAAAATTTTGATGTGCTGGCCAGATTGTGATTTCCACCATGAGTATTGGTGTGGACATTTTCCTGTCTGTCAAAATGTACTGACACTGAGTCATTGTAATATCAGCCACCCTACTTTTGACCACTTGGTACATCTTTGAGAGTGAAATCCCATCTTTGAGGCCTTCATTTTTGCTGTACTCTTTCACTTAGACACTTTTGCACTGGCAGGAGCAGACTGTTTCAGGGGTGACTTGATTTCTGAGTCTTTCTGTGGCTTCTTGTTGTCCTTTGGTGGGTTATTCTCAATTTCTTGGATGTTCTGCCTATCCTCATGACTGTAGTCTGTGTGAGGTTCATGTTTGCATGCACCATGACTGAATGATGCCACTGGTTGGTAGATTTGTGGAAGCTTTGACAGTTTGACCAAAACTTGTGAGTACATCCATGTATTTTCTCAATGGCTACTGACCTGCAGACATTGCTGACTTGGATGTGGTTGCTCAACTTGCTCTTGCTGAATAACATATTGGTTCTCCCTAGTGTGAGGGACCTATGTGTTTTGACTGTGTTGAGAATCAGTGCTGACTGCAGTTTGAACATGAAAAATACCTAGTACTGTGCATCATACCAGTAAGCATCTTGGTGCACAGGGTTTATTTGCCACTGTTGCCACTGATCATCAGTGTATCCAGTCATGAATTCCTGTGGTCTATTTCCACCTTTCATGGACATGTAATTTAAACCAGCAAATGACTGCTGTTCTCACTGACTAGGGACTGCAAGGCCATTTTGTGAGGCCTGAGGAACTGGACTGTAGGGATGATATCCAGCATTACTATGAGCAAAGTAGTTCTTCACATAGTGTCAACTACAACTTCAAGCTTGTTCAACTTGTAATAATATTAAGCTACAGCAAAGGAATGTGGTAGTGGACAAATCAGGAAAGGTTTAGGGTCTGTCTGAGTAATTTATGAAAGGTGACTGTAAGGCCAAGTTGACATTGACAACAACATTTTAGAATTGAGCAGCCCTACAAGTGCTGCTGTAGCTGTAGCCTACTCAAGAATCAGAATCTCAGTGTTGCTGCTGAGGCAAATCAAATCAAATTGAGGTAAAACATCAACAGCTTGGACTAATGAGTTTGGGAGTGATATGGACCAGTAGTCCAGCCAATAAGAAGCTGGCAACTCTGCATGCCAACAATGACAATTACTTGCAAGTTACTGGTACACAACCAGCAGATACTGTCATATCCCATATGCCAGACCTAGATCCCATAATACTCCCATGCCTTCTGAGCCTATGTCCAGACCCCACCTTCAACTCATTCCCAGATCCCCTTCCACTGTGTGCTCCACATCTCAGCAGGATGAGCTCCACTATGGATTTACCCCTGAGCTCCAGACCTCTGGATCTTCATTATTAGCCTGATCTGTACACCCCTATCCTGTCCACCATATGCACATTCTGTCCAGCAAGACATCCAGACTTTACCTTCTCTTTGATTCTGGACTATATCCACTGTCTCACATATCTCAGTCCTGTTTCCACCTTGCCTTCTAGATCTCCAGATCTCCAGACCTATTCCCACCCTCCATCTGAGATCCTGCACCTATCCCCATTTAGGCATCTCCACCTTTCTGGTGAAGGTTCAACAACTCTGCTGGCTTGCAGAGCTAAAGAAAGAAAGATGGGCTCTCACTCTGGGGTGAGAGGAAAGCCTACTGACTCTCTAGGTGTTGGTCAAAGTGTGCCAAGTGATATGTTTGACCCTTAGGGTAAGCAAGGAAAGCAAGTATTCATGAAGTGACGCCAGGCCAACTCTGGTGAAGCATGCTGGGAGCACACACATGGGAATGTTGAGTGCGTACAGTGGCTCAAAAAACTGTCCGCATGTTTTGACATTTTTCACTATCTATGATATTGTGTGAGAATGAACAAATGCCTCAAGGACACGCTTATAGCACATTGTAGTATGGCTTCAGGGCTTTAATTTGAGCCCTACACCGTGGGAATCGGTGGAGATATGGTGGAGATACAAGGCTTACAAAATCATGACTCATGTGGACAGTTTTTTGAGCACATATTAAAACTATATAAATCATCATTTATGACACCATAACAATCATGCCACCATTAAGCAAACTATAAAGTGGTGTCATTATGTCATTTTAAAACCATATCTAACTATACAAACCAAAAATTTCCATATGTCATGGTTATATTCACCATGAAAGCCACCCCCCCTGCTCAAAGGGATAATATCCTCTCTTTTTCCTATTCTGGCCTCTCTGCTTGTCAAATTTCCTCTAGAACTGGAGTATCCAAGTCCACTGTGGCCAAGTTCATCAAAGAAAGTCACACAGACAAGGAAAACTTCTGTGAAGGGCGTCCATCCAAGCTCACCTCTACTAATAGGAGGGCTATTATTCAACACATCACTACAGGAAAGGCTGATAATGCTGTCCAGGTCACCTATTACATCAATTCCACCATCACATTCCCTGTCTCTTCACACACTGTGAGAAACATTCTCAAGACAGCTCATCTCAGGTCAGTAACAAGGAAGAAAAGGCTCTCCTCTCTATCACACATATGCAGAGAGGACTAACCTTTGCCTTAGCCCATCAGAATTGGATTACATGGACTGGAAGCATGTTATATGATCATATAAGACCACAATAAATAGGATTGGGTCAGATGGCAAGGTATATATGTGAAACAAGAAGAGTGCTAGCCCTCTCTGCATATGTGTGATAGAGAGGAGAGCCTTTTCTTCCTTGTTACTGACCTGAGATGAGCTGTCTTGAGAATGTTTCTCACAGTGTGTGAAGAGACAGGGAATGTGATGGTGGAATTGATGTAATAGGTGACCTGGACAGCATTATCAGCCTTTCCTGTAGTGATGTGTTGAATAATAGCCCTCCTATTAGTAGAGGTGAGCTTGGATGGACGCCCTTCACAGAAGTTTTCCTTGTCTGTGTGACTTTCTTTGATGAACTTGGCCACAGGTGACTTGGATACTCCAGTTCTAGAGGAAATTTGACAAGCAGAGAGGCCAGAATAGGAAAGAGAGAGGATATTATCCCTTTGAGCAGGGGGGGTGGCTTTCATGGTGAATATAACCATGACATATGGAAATTTTTGGTTTGTATAGTTAGATATGGTTTTAAAATGACATAATGACACCACTTTATAGTTTGCTTAATGGTGGCATGATTGTTATGGTGTCATAAATGATGATTTATATAGTTTTAATATGTGCTCAAAAAACTGTCCGCATGAGTCATGATTTTGTAAGCCTTATGTCTCCACCATATCTCCACCGATTCCCACGGTGTAGGGCTCAAATGAAAGCCCTGAAGCCATACTACAATGTGGTATAACCATGTCCTTGAGGCATTTGTTCATTCTCACACAATATCATAGATAGTGAAAAATGTCAAAACATGTGGACAGTTTTTTGAGCCACTGTAGGTGCACAAAGCATGGGAATAAGGCACGTGCTGTGCACAGACATATAATAGACTGGTAGAAGGCATGAGGACGTGAACTGAGGCTGCTGAGTGGTAACTGGTGATAATAATGGACTGCTACTGAGGACTAGGGTGACGACTGATGCATGCTAACTGAAGATAGATTCTCACTCTAGAGACTAACTGACATGATGGTGGTAGGTGTATTATGTATGAAAAACTTCCTAGGCAACAGGTAAGCTGTGCCTAGGCACACTCCCAGGGCTTGGAAGCGAACAGGGAGCACTCTATGTATGTAAGTGATGTAAGGACAGGGTCCATAATGAAATAATGTCATACATATGCTAAATATGGTCTGATGGTGAGAATAAACGAAAAGGGACTCACTAGGGGACTGGTTGGACGATGGATGAATGCTCCAGGATGCTGTGCAACAAAGTGTGACCAAGCACAGGAAGAGTGCACTAAGCACATGTGCGTGAATGTGTTGTGTAGTGCGGGAAAGTGTTGTGCCTCTGGCGCGTTTCATGGGAAAGTCATAGCTAGTGAGTTGCACACTGTACCAATCATCATGAGTTGAAATATGGGCAATCTATGCCTGGAGAAATCTCATTCTCTACACCGGTTCTCAGTTATCTCTGTTTCTGTCTTGCTGATTGATTTTTGTACTAGTTTCATCTCTGAGTTCATTTACTTATGTTCTGTCTTACTTACCAATGTATTTCCACATGCTCATACATAGCCTTCCTCCTTTGCTTACTGATCCTCTCAGATGTCCTCTAGTATATAACCCCTGTACAACTCCAGTAGAGTCCTCA